ATCGTATAGCGCTTGGACTTGGTGTGACACAGAACATGGAGATGCTGGCGATTTGATCACAAGCTGGACGATTTTGTTCCACGCTGGACTTGCAAAGAGTATCCGTCTCGCAAGATAGGCATCGAAAGCCAGGTTCGATCTACGCTCGCTTCCCACGTCTGTCACGTTACCGTTGCCATTCTTATTAAGGCGGAAAGGGAGTGTGGGCGGAAGATTACCCTCGCTTTAATTGACCGTTGGAAGGCGTTTGAATGAAAACCATAACTGACCTTCGTTCTATTTCGGCCTCGGCTATATAAGTATATACCGGTTATGTTTTAACTCGAACAGATTTATTACAAAAAAATATTCGTAAAAGGTGCACTAATGCAGTTTGTGCAGGTGAGTTAAGGCCTGTTCTCACATGCAGCGAAGCGCTACAAGCATAGCGCTGACCTCGCGCTAAGCACGTGCCGACGGGAGCGTTCACCAGCTTTGTATCGCACCGACAAAACTGTACATCATGGCAGACGATAAGTAGCTGACGGCACGTGAGAAGCGCTACATCAGCGCTCCGCTGCATGTGAGAACCGGCCTTTATACGGCCAGGGGAACATCATATAGGTGTCTAATCTTTGCGATAAGTCAGATAATTAACTAAACTTCCTTATTCAACTTTTTAATTAGTAAGAATAATTATATGGTTTCAATTAGGAACATGCTGAGCGTCATCGAAAACCACTAAATCAACTCTTTTTAGAACGACTTGAAGCTCGTGGGAAACTCGGGGGCGCACCAAAGTTACCAATCGTGCAGCAGGTGCAAAGCTAGCTGTGGAAAAACGCGGATGATTAAATTATCATAGCGTTCATCGCGGTAGTTTGTCGCGTCTACCGCGCACAAAAGCGGATACCGGCACAGCTCTGCGACTGCGACGTAAACCCGGGACACTTCGAAAGCTCGACGTCTTTCGGTGAGAACGACGTTGAACGCAGCACATGACTCGTAGAAAAAGATAGTTCATCAGCCGACCAGCCCCTGAAGTCAGTGACGTGAAAGGATGAATGGAAGCGATCGGATGGAAGAGTGAATCCAAGGTGGCCAACTGTGCTTTGGCTTTTCTCACCAAACCTTCGGCATTAAGTATTGATCTAGGTAATTTGAACTAGTCAGCGTACTTCCCGTATAGTGGCGCTGCTTTCGGAGGCCGATGCTGTCACGACCAAAGTTACTGGATCAACTCAGTTGGCAAACTCCCACGGAGAGCGTAATCCCTTCTCGTACCCCTCGGCCGGGCTAACGCTGTTCGAAGCGCCAATCTTCTCGCTCGCTGCGGCGCGTCAGCAACGGCAGTTCAAGACACGACCGCAGCGGGCAAGAAGGATGACGCTTCAAACAGCATTTCCGAATCTAGGGGATATCAGCGGAAACTGACGTGTGTCAGCGCGTGTCTTAGAAGGGATCACGCTCTCCGTGGGAGTTTTCCGACTGAGTTCATCGGGTAACGTTGGTCACGACATTCCACTGAAGCTTCGTAACCAACAACCACGTGGTTTTTGGTATTATTTAATTCAGTTTAAAATAGGTTTTCTTGCATTTTCCAATGAAATATTGATGTTTCTGAGGTTCTACTGCTACCTGCGTCACGTTGAATCAAAGAGATGAGCTCCAGAATTTGGTTTCCGTACCCCTTTACCGCGACCAAAATGTCATTTTTTTTTTTTTTTTTTTTAAATGCGATGCGTAGTAGTTTTTGCAGGAAATGTTGGGCCGCGTTTCGTGAGACGCGGGACCAATGTGAGATGCGCAAGCTTTAAAATTGCTTCGCTTGGCCGCACTCAATTTATCCAGCCGTGAAAGGATAAATTCACACAGCGATTGCTCGAATAATATAATTGAAATAAATTTAACACTTTAACAAGAGGATTAGAAGAAAGAAGAAAAAAAAGTTCAATGTAAATGAACAAAACAAACAAAACTTGGTATTTGTTGCAAATTTAAAGGGTAAACATATATGTTGGAAAGTAAGCAAACACGAAGCCTAATTGGTCACGCTACGAGACAAGAAATTGCTTCGCCTCGAAGCGCTTGCCCGCCTTCTGAGCCGGCTTCGTTGGAACGGACACGGAGCGGAGTCAGCGAACCGCAGCGCCCAGGGAAAACCAGCCAACTCGGGAAGCCTTGGCATGACGCACTCGCCTCTTTTCGCAAAAACTGTGGGGGGTTTGAGATCACGGAGAGATATTCCGAATGTTTCATTTCAAATGGATCCCGTAGAGCGGCGACAACGACGCGACACATATCGCACGTGACATCGACGAAGGCCAAGGAGCTTCTGTGTGAGCACAACTCAACGGAAGGGTACGTTGGAGGAACGTTTAAACGGCACCGGAGGCTGCCATCTTTGTATGGGTAACAGGGACTTTTAGCGAACCGTTACCGTGTTCCGGGTACCGCGCTACCGGAGCCTTTGATGCATGCTTTTAAGCGCGCTCCCCGCGGTCACGGTGTCACCCGGGCACCGTGTAAGATAATACTTTTCAGGTGAGGACGTTCCTCGCGACCGTGCCGATAAAGTTCGCTTTTCACTCTCTCTCACTATGGTTTCAAGCGGCGCCGGCAGATGACTCGTCGACCCGTGGGCACGTAAAGTCCCTTCATGTTTCAAAAGTAGCGCAAGGTTCGTCGATGCACGAGGCGCGTGCAACGTGCAGCCTTTGGGAAGATCATGGCGGCAAAGCGCAGCACTGGTAGTGCACTGTAATTGAGGGGCTTTATGGGCACGGTGTAAGACGCAGGAGGCAGGCAGCAGTGCACAAGACGGCTCGTGCCGCCTCATGCTCCACACGCGCAGAGCTCCAGCGAGGTTGTTGCGCGTGCAGAAACCCACGGTGTACCGGGGTGTCATGGCAACGAGATAATTTTTTTCGCTCTCACACAGTTTCGCCGTTTGACCGCCGGCGACACTGTCAGCCGCGGGCACGTAGAGTAACTGTATAGAGCCTATACAGTTACTCTACGGGCACGGTGGCCGCGGAATGATGGAGCCTCTCAGATGTCCGTCGAACGCTGATTCCTCGCGCCGCGCATTCAGCCCCGCCGTGTCCTCGCCTAAAGAGTGTATCTTACACCGCGCACCGGGTGCGCGCTTAAAAGCATGCTTCAAAGGCTCCCGTAGTGCGGTACGCAGAACGCGGTAACAATTTGCTAAAAATCCCTACTAAAGGCTGGACTCGGGGCAACGAACATGCGGCGAACAACCGATGAAATTCGCTCAGTGGCACGTTCGCTCTGCGCGCACTTGATGAGCACACCCAGAGCGAATGAGGCGAAATTCGTCGTTTTTTCACTCCACGGAGTCCAGCCTTTAGTCTTCACAAAAGGCAGAGGATTAATTATAATATCGAGAACATTGTAGCGCTTTTAGACACGGACGAGAGGAGACAACAGGACAACACAATGGGCTAACTTCAGCTGTTTATTATGCAGAAAAGCATGGGTATAAATACTCTGCGCTATCGCATCTCTCAACCAGTATACCTATACCCTGCCGCTGTTAGAAGATTCAGCACCAACTGGCCCAACAGCAGCATTGATCAATTACAATAGATTTGTACGCTTCAAGACTCAAAATGTCGACGCCGGGCAGGGCGGGTGCAAGTCAACATCTGCGATAAACAAGGCACGAATTAAGGCAGTAAAAGCTGGTTGGAAGAACTAAAAAAAGTTATACCCGAAAATAAACTTTTTTGTGAAGACTCGAAATCGCAGCCGACGTTTCGCTAAGAGACAAACAAGGAACGGCTTCTTTATGGCTAATTTTATCTATAAAATGTATCAACGTAAAAAAAAAAAAAAAAAAGGTCATGTCGCCATGCAGGCGGTTCCCTCCACGCTTTTCAATCCGTGCCTGAATTAATTCGTATGCCCCCCCCCCCCCCCCCCCCGCCCCATTTCATACTGTATGTAGTGCCCTTTAAACGAAAGCGCGTACTAAAAAGTAGCTCAGGATTAACCTTGCCTTCGAAACAGTTTTTTTTTTGTGTGTGTGTGTGTGAGGGGGCATAGCCTTTTACACCAAGGAAGGAAGCAATTCATTCGACAAGCATATGCAGTCGTGTGGGCAAGGAGCAATGTACTAATAAAACCACTGTGTTATAGGGCTGTAAGCTGTCGTATTATAGTTCACTCCGCATTATAGTACGTTTCATGATTTATTAGAGGCGTTCACATTGCGACGTCCTCTTCGGCCACGAGCGAAAGCCTAAAGGGCTGCAGTCCGACTCTCGGTTTTGGTTACAAGCGGCCAGTCAGGAGCGACTGTCCGATGGCGACGGGGCGAACAGAAGGTGAAAACTGCCGCTTTTGTGTCGACTTCTGGGGCTAAACGCTCGAACAAAACGTCCTGTTCACTCTCTGCTGCCCCATGGCATTTGTCCCAAGAACAAAAAGGTGCGCAGAAAGCAGCCACGTCATGGGACGTCCAGTCAGGAAATGTACGGTTCCGCGCGGTTTGATGCTCGCTTTTGTGCGCTCGCACCGCGCGTATGAAAAAAAAAAAAAGAAAAAAAAAAAAGAAATGATAAGAAGAGTGATTTTTATGGCTACAATGGACACACCGGGGGTAGAAATTCTGGCTCTGACCTTGAACGTTGGGACATCCATTTTTATCGGCGTTGAAAGCGTACCCGTGGTCATACTACATCCCAAGTTAAACCGCGCTCGCCGGGTAAAGAAAGCCGCGACGAGGTCGAAATTCCTTAGAGTTTCATTAACGGTTTACCACAGTCACCATTGTAGCTTAGATTCTACGATAATCGATAACAGGAGATTAATAGGGAAGTTACGAGGCATTACGCTGCGTCTGTTTTTGGCAGCCTTTCTGAAAAGCAGGTGGTAAGTTTGCTGCTTGGATAGCTTGTCATTCGCAACTCGTTTTAAATGGTCAGCCCGAGATGGGGCGACCGGCTGAAAGGAGCGCTTTTCACGTATTAACCCCATTTGTGCGATGTTTCAGATTGTCCCCGCCTCGTCACCATGCTTCTTCGGGTGTTCCTGCTCGCATGGCTTCTTGCGGGAATTCTCGGTCAAGGTAAACTCATTTCCCCGTCATTCGTGATCGAGTGTCTAGGAAGAGAAACCGGAAATTCAGCACGCCTACCTAGCAGTTCAGTATTCGTCTTACAGAGTGTCTACTGCACTACTTAAAAACAGGAAAGAAACCGACCGCGGACAAACCAGAAGCTGTTACCTTGAAACCCTTCGTTCGAAAATCAGGAAACGGTTCGTATGTGAATCAATAATAAGCCCGACGCTCTGCGTCGGGGCTGTTCGTAGGTCGATCTGCTAGAACGTGCGTTGGTATTTAACGCGACTTCCGCTCCTTGACAGGCAAAATGGCGAAAGGAAACAAGAAGCGAATAACTTGTTCATTCCGTAGCTTTGGCGACTTTGTGCACTCGATTCTTTCACGTACTCATTCGCAAAGGCCATGGCGGCAACATCTAAACTGATCTCAACGAAGGTGGCACTCAATCACCATTAATTTGTCACAGCGATCTTGGTTCACGAGCTTCTTGATAGAAGCGTTTCCACCGAAATATGCGCCACAAGGCTTAACACGGTCTCATGGGGGCCCCGTGTCTTCAAACAAACGGGCGTATTTAAAGTGCGAGTTTTCGAGTGCGCCTAATTAGGAATCGGGCGGTAACAAGCCTCATTCTTTGTGACAAAAAAAAAATAATTTGCGGAAACCGAAAAGCGGGTTGGATTAGAATGTACGGTTATGGTTATTTTTAGCATGATTCAGCTGCTGCACAAATGGGCGTTGCTGAAGCGATATGTTAAAAGTGAACGATTTTTCATTTTGTAGACGTACAGATATGTATATGGTCATTTTTGCTCTTTATTCATTTTTACTTTGAAAACCCTTTTCCTTAAAAAAGAATACGCTGGCGGATTGGCGGTTTGATCGGCGCTGCGGCGAATGGATTTTGAAGCCGGGTGGTCAAATCGACTCGTCGATGGCAAAACATTTGGATATGGGTCCCGAAGCGATCCAGATCTTGGGCGAGCGGATCTCGCCCGGCACCAGAATCCGCTCGTCGCCGGCGCGGATCCCGGAAACGCACCGTAAGAGCTGAATTTCTCTGCGCCACTAAGGAAGGCCACCGTAAAGCACAAATTGGGTTGCTGCATAGAATACGAATCCCAGCCGAATACTGACGCAGCAGCAGTCGTGTCCAATGCGCGCCTACGGTGGCCTCTTTTAGTGACGCAGGAAAATTCAGGCTTTCTTCCTTCGGAGGTGTCCGGCAGCCTGTACTCACCGGCGGTCATCGTTGAGTCGGTTGCCGCAGGGAGCGAGAGTATACGATGAGGTTCCAACGCTTCCGCAACGTGCATACCACACCACTAACTAGGTTGTGGTTCTTACAAGGTACATCAGCGGTCGTCCTGAGCGTGCGCTGTGGACACTGAGACAAGGCTTCCACAACACTTCCGCACCGTGCATACCACACCACCTAGGTTGCAGTTCTTAAGTTAAAAGGTGCGGCAGCGCTCGTCCTGAGAGTGCGCTGTGAACACTGCGCTCAAATATATGGCGCCCACTGAATACCACCTCCTATCTCATTTTCACCCACGTGCGAGCGAAGTGGAGACTACGAGCTCGAGGCTGTCGTATTGGAAAGAGCTGTGGCTGGAAAGGAGTATATGATATTTTTCTTTCTAACTTTTTATTTTTAATGTTTCTAAAGCGTGTGAAATAACGTTTTTGAGAAATCTATTTTTAAAGACTACATAATAAGAATTAGAAACGGCTGGTTTATAATATACGTCATAGTGACTTCACATCAAGGAGTTTTGGGACATAATTGACATTCAATAGTACGGGCGATAACATGCACGTGACGAAATCCAAAATTTAAATTTCTTGCTATTTTTTAATTATTGTTTAGTGATAAACAGACCTGTCAAGGCACTTACAAAGTAACTCCGAAGAAAGTTAGCAGAAAGCGATGCGTAGATCACGATTACATTAATGCAAAACCACTGCAAGGGGAATCTCTCCAAATCGTAAAGGATGTGCAGCATGCAGCTAGGCCCTTATACTCGGCGTCAATTATTTTATGCTGCAGAGAGTTTTAGGATGGGCGCCCCAACGCTTGGGGTCCCCCAAGCAGCTTGGGGGACCCAAGCCGTTTGGGCCCTATATTCTAAAACTCTCTAGTGCCGAGGCTAGAGTGGCTTCCACAGTGCTGCAGCCCCACGCTGCTGTGAGAGCACGTGGCTTCCTCTTGCGTCTCATTCGCATGCGCTCGCGCAACCTTTTACAGAGTTGGAGCACTGCGAAAGCTACGCTAGCCTTTACAACGTAGCACAAAATAGTTGACTCGGAGTAAAGATGCTCAAGGTTCTCGTTTCAGAGACATCAACGGGGACAGTGAAACCCACAAGCGTGCAAACAACGTCGAGCCCGGCAGAGCAGACGACCAGCGGAGAGACCAACGAGGAAATCGAAGATGCCAACGACTTCGTGGATCAGATCCTCGAAGAAGTGCAGACAAGCGAAGCTATCCAAGCCAAAATCAAACCGGCTGTCCTGGGTGACTTGCACTACAACGGCTTCAAGCTGTCCAACGCAGTGCTGCACGGCGTCAACTCCGTTTACCGCAGCGACAACTGCACTTTCCACTTCTCCGACACTTCGTTCGACGTTCTGGTGCACTTGGGAGCCAAGGACTTGCACCTCGAGTCCGGCTGGTCGAGAACCTGGCTCTACATTCCATTCGGGGGCCACGTCGGCGCCAAGCTACGGGATGTGAGCATCTTCATGGACATAAACGTCGGCAAGGATGGAGCGCCTACCCTGCGTCGGCTCAAGGTGGGTCAACACTGCAGATTTTGAGCTTAGCACATCTGCAAAGTAACTCCAAAAGACAGAATCAAGGGCGGAAAAAGTATTAATGCCCCCCCCCCCTTTTTTTTTCCGCCATCTACCCTAAAAAAAGATAGAAGAAAATGAAAACTAAAGATTCGCCTTAAACAATTCTTGCGTTCTTCACTCAAGTCTTCAAGCCAGGTTATTAAATGAACCAAGAGGACAAGAGGTATATGCGAGTATATAAGAATGAAACAATCGAAAGGAAAATGAAAATGACCCGTCATATATAACAATGGCCTTCTCTCCGCCATCCTTTTTTCGGGCGGCGGAGAAAAGCTCACCGGAGAAAAGCTCACCGGAGAAAAGCTCACCGGAGATAAGCTCACAGGAGAAAAGATCACCGGAGAAAAGCTCACCGCAAAACCGGCAGATGCGGAGAAAAGCTCACCGGCCTTTGAGCGGATGCGGAGAAGAGCTCACCGATATTTATTTTTTTTTAGCTTAGCTTGATTCTGCGCCAAACGTGGCAATTTAACACAATTCGTATTCGTCAGTTCAATAAAAATGTCCTTTTCGTTTGTAATATTCTTGAAGTTCATTGAGCATATTTACCGATTCCTCAGAAATTAGTAATCACCCATTCTATAAATAATGAAGCTGCAAGCATAAAATCAAAACATCGTACACCGATAAAATGGCAACAAATTATTGACAGCTGACAGCGCGCCGTCGCTAGCTCTGTCAAATAAAGAGGTTTGTTCCTTGCGAGCTATAATGAAAAGCGGTGTGTGAACCGGTTCAGCTCCAAATATTGTGTAGTGCCTAATAGATAAGAAGGTGTTTGTTGATGTAATCAGTGTCGGCTACGCTGTTTTGTTTCTGTTAATTTCACTAACAAAACTTTAGTTGCGAGAACAGCTTCGCTTGTCGTGTTTGCTTTCTTCACACCGTCGTCGTCGTTTGAGCGGTTTTCATCATGTATAACGTTTACCAATTCGCCCTATTCGCTGCATAACAGAAGACTACTTCTTCTATAGGTTAAGAGTAACAACGGTGCCATTGCGCAGCTCCGAAGGTCATGGGTGGCTCACCGTAGAAGGGCACTCAGTATCACACAAAGGGAACGTGTGAAAACACCAGCACGAACGGCTAGAAAGAGTGCATGTCCGTGGAAGAAAGAAGCCTCGATATCCTATTGACTGTTTTATCTTGTTTTCAAAGGTTAACAAAAGCTTCAAAGAGAATTTCAGGCACCGCGTTGTTGCGCGTGCACTTTTGAATTTTCGGCAGTTACAGCTTTGATTTTTTAGGTTTTAGGCAAACATCATTAAATTTTTTAACTTTTTCCTGTTCTTCAAGTTCATAAAATTCTCAGTTAGGCTTTCGTTGCCTCGAGAGTAAGCCACAGAAAACACTCGCCCGCAATTATTAATTTGGGAGCAATATACAAAAAGGACATTTTTTTTACAAAGCTGACGAATTTTAATGACAGCCTCCATATAAAAAGAAGAAAAAATATAAGTGAGCTTTTCTCCGCATACGCTCAATGGCCGGTGAGCTTTTCTCCGCATCCGCCGCTTTTGCGGTGAGTTTTTCTCCGGTGAGCTTATCTCCGGTGAGCTTTTCTCCGGTGAGTTTTTCTCCGGTGAGCTTTTCTCCGGGATTCCCTTTTTCCACGCTGTTAATTTTGTAAACTTTCAAAATCGTTTACACTGCTTCTGACCGCTGCCATCTGCTCTGTTTGTGCATTTAGCGCGTGCTTTGCTCGCGTTTCGAAGTGTAAAGCTCGGACCTGCCGAGCTGTAAGGTTATTTTCATACTGAGCCGAGAGGTATAGACAGCGGAATCGCAAAGAGTCGGTTCCAATCATCTACAGAAGAAACAACCCAGCACGCGGTAAAGACGTGCCCTGCGACAGAAACTTGCCACTTCGGAAGGCGATGATGAAATGCTTGCGGCCAAAAACGCATTTAAGGAACAATACAGTGTAAACCTTTAAAAAATAGGGGAGCTTCTAGTCGGTGCCCTTTCAGCATTCGTGCGAAGGGCGCGTGCTTTGTTTTTAAGGTGGTAAGTTGGACTAGTTGTTCATTGTTCCTTTTGTCCTGTCCCTTTGATCGCCGTTTTTCGTCCCGTTTGTTCGTTTTCCAAAGCGACAGACAGGTGAGAGTTGTTAGGCTTTGGATATTGCGCAGTGAGCTGTGAATTTGCCATCACAGGTGGCGACGAGATGTTTTGTGGCGCCCTCCTATGGTTCCAAACAGTGACGTCACGACCATTGCTTGTTTCAATGGTTTTGATACTATCATTTGTTGTGATAGACAAGTTCGACGTTGTGTATGTAAAGAGTATAGACAGCTGACAGCACGGTGGGAGCTACGCGCTCGCCGGACCATTCAACCGCCTCCCTTTTGTCACCCGACCCCCCTCTCTGACAGTGATCACGTGGCGAAAGATGGACGTATCACATGGTCGAACGAGCACGCAGCTTCCACTGCACTGTCGGCTTAGGGGTGCAGTATACAACCAAAGCGTCCTCAACAACACCGCCGAAGTTGACGATACCCTTAATTCCGCCCATGTAGCAGAATGAATCTTACAAGAAGTCATACTGAGTTCTTGGCCAATCACGAAAGGCCGACCGGAGCGACGATTTTGGTCGCGGTCGTCACTAATGGGCACTCGTGATGTTTGCAAACATGCGGTACGAGTGCCGACATTGAGCGCGCGCGCTTCGACGTTTCACAAATCTGGCAATGCGTGTGCGCAGCAGCCACGGCCGCTTGAATGAAGATGGATCGGCCGTCCATAAATGATCCAAGATTTACAAAGGTCACATGCAAAAACCGTAGCTCGGCGGTGAGACCACGCGTCCCTTTGACAAGCGACCGTTAAGCACGCGCAAGACGATAACACACACCCGACACCTCCGACAAGCTACTTCTTATTGCCACGAACGAAACGGTGCATTCCAACTGCACGTGCGTTTCCAGAGGTCAGGCAAATACTATATATATATATTTTTTAAACGCTGCGTGTATATGCGTGCACAGCGCTGCATAAACTTTCCTTTGTCGGATTCTTGATGTTTTATTTTTTGCCCGGAGTGTGTCTTTACAAGGGCAACCTGTATTCTTTCTTAATGCGCAGGTGATCCGCCTGAGCGACATACACGTCACCAAGGCCACTGGGGCGTCGGTCCTCTTCAACTGGGCGCTGCGCAGCATTCTCAATTGGGTCGTGAACGCAAACAAAGGCAAAATCATCCAGCTGGTTGAAACCGACGGAGCGATGGCCATCAACGAAGCCATGAAAGACCTCGGCAGCAAACTCAACTCGCTGAACGAGTTTCGGAGACGCTGAAGCCCTCGGTAGCCAGCTTTGGGACTACATCGAGCATCGCAACCCCTTAGTGGCGTTAGTTATGCAAGACGGACAAAGTAATTAACGGGAAAAATCTATACCCGGTGCATACCCCTTCGGTATAGGAACTTTGGAACTTTAAAGAGGCTTTCTTGCCGTACGCCAATATTTAGAATATAGTCTGTGATAAGCCGTCTGAAAAGTTTGTCGGAAGGTTCAATTATGCGCGCGATTGGGATCCTGTATATACTTACTTGCCATATAACGTTTTGTCTTCAAGCGAAGAGCGTCAGTCCTTGCCAACAACAATATGGTATGAAATACAATTGTATTTCATACCATGATGAAATACAATTTATGATATACGGTGTGACTTGTGAAGCGATCCAGGTTTTATGGCATTACCATGTCAGAAACAGATGAAAAATAATTAAACGTTTAGTTCCTGCCATGCTGGCCCGGTGAAATCAGTGCTATATTAATATTAGTGTTGGACAAGAAAGTCAATAAAATATTTAAGATAAATTACTAAATACCTACATCAAAATGTGTTTAGAGTACTACTTAAGTTACTTTCCTTCCAAACTATCTTGAGCAGAATACAAATATTTAGTAAAGTAATTTAATTACTTTTGAAGATTCTTCTTCATCGTGTAATATCGACTTCAGCGACACCAGAATGGTACATTTGCAAGCAACAAAAGCAAATATAAAAAATCGCAGTCATAATACAAGAAGTACAGTATCACACTGGTGAATGTTACAACAAGCAGAAAGAGGTCGCTCTACGTATGGTTACATCGCAGAAAATCACATCTTGAAGTGGTTTTATTAAGCGCACCTTGGATGTATCGTTTTACTAAGGGCACAAAAAAACGCAAGTAGAGTAGACTACCCTAATGATGCATTCGGAGGTAACTGTAACTTCAAAAAGAAGGGCACAAGGGACACAAAGAAGCCCTTCTGTCTTGTGGTTGTCGATTTCTTCCTTTTTCACCCCCATACTAAAGGCCTACAACTTTGAGAGAACTCCTTGTTTGCATTCTAAGAGCTCATCCTGCCCCTAGCTTGTTTCCTGCCTTGCTGTTGCAATCTTTGTCTGCATGAAAGAGCACGGCTATCCCCATTCCCCCCACAGACAGTGTTCCCGAGATTGCCAGACTGGCCGAAGAAACGGACATTCTTGCCCTAGCGGGGTGCAAAATCAATCATTAAAAAACAAAAATCATTTTGTGTCTTCTTTTTTGTTGCCTTTCCTCATTTCTTTCTACTTGTTCTTTTGTTGGCGCATCGAGCCTGCACCTATGGTCTTGGCTTGTTTTCTGTGTTGTGTTCGGCCGCTTCCGCTTCAAGTTTGCAACCGCTCAATTTCGCGCTAGGGTGCGCCGATTCCTATTCCCGCAAAAAATTCCCATAAGTTTTTTAAACATTCAAAAAATGCATTTTAAGGGACACTGACAGGGTATTTATGCAATTTATGCCTCGAAATTCGTTTTTTTTTCCACCTGACAACAGCCGGTCGAGAATTGGGAGGTTTCAGTGACGCTCACTCTCGTTTTCATGGTAACGTGGCGTTCAAAACTATGTGTACCAAATGCATTCAAAGTCGTGGGTTATCTAATATTATTCAATATTAAATAAAAAAAAATATGAACCCCATTTTTTGTGGCCTTCAAGAAGCTGCAAATAGGTTGATCGAAAAAAGATACATTTGTGGATCCTTAGGGAATGCGAGCATGACCCTTGGGAGACGTCAAACAGGTCCCCCTTCGGAAAATGCTAACGCTGACCTCTTCACTTTTATGTTTTGGCTTTTTCTTTTGCTGCCTCTATACTTTGCTGCTTCTTTTTGGCTTCGTCACGGTGTCAGTGTTAGGGTTTCCCAAAGGGGGACGTGTGTGGAGTTTTCCATGGGTCATGCTAACGCATTCCCCAAGGATCCACCAATGGATCTTCCTGTAATTTGGCTAGCACAAACCAAAGCATACGCGCTCCGCACATCTGCCAGTTCAGACTCGCCCCAGCATCCGCGTGCTCATTGGCTTCCACCCCGTGATGTCGCCTCCCTCTCGCCTTTGTCCTTCACCACTCTCTTCTCTACGGGGCGCGCTTCCCTTTCCACTGTTCTGTACACAGACGGACGCCGTCAGCTTTTCCCTGTCATGTGGGTACTAACGCTAACGCATTAAAAATGTTGCACAGATCACAGGAAGTGCATGTACACGTCATTCTCAATATGGCGACGTACCGCGGACTGGACGACGCCATGGCGGCGCACGACGGACCAACGTAGCGACGGACGTGGGACCGCTACTTCACAACTGTCGTTGGTGGTACCGGCCAATCGATCTTCAAACGCAGGACATTCAGCGGAAGAGATATAAATGCGAAACAATCAGACGACAGACGGTTCACGCAAGCTCGTCGTCGTCTGCTTCAGCGTTGGAAAAGCAGAAGGGAAAAAAAAAAGGCGATCGGGTGTAGCCACGTGACTTCCGGCCATAAGCTTTCGTGCTCGTGTTTCGGGCAGTTGAGTTTTTTTGGCTTTATTAAAAGTCTACGTGAATCTGCAGCAAAATTTTAATTGGGTAGTCTCCTGACACCATGTTAAATCGATTGGCAAATTTGTTTTTTTGTGGGGGAGGGGGGGTGGTCAGTGTTTTTTTAAGGTAATGAGTACCAGATACAGAGAATCAAGATAGAGAGCAAATGCTTTCTATCAAATGTATTTGCAAGATGCCAAGTTATTACCAAAAGTATTAGAAATACAGTATCTTGAGTAGGGTATTTGAGATAGGCACAAGTCTGATTAATATCCTTCCTTGTCGAAATCGCATGGTATTGTCATGAATTAGCCAACATAAATAAATGGATGTTCCAGCTACTGCACCTTATTTTATTTGCCGTATTCAATATCCGAGCTCGGACACATTTCAGTGATTCGCCTGGAGGGAATCGGTGCGATTTTCGAAGTCATTTCGATCCATCCATCGACGATTCAAACGCTGTCGGATAGTACGCTGGAAAAGCGCTGCTCGTCAAAAACTGAACTAAAATGGGGGGAGAAACTAGTCATGTTCGCTTATGCCACACTTGTTAAGCTGAATTTCTGCTTAACAGTTTAATCTGAATCGAAAACTATGTAGACTCGTTAAAAGCGCAGTAATTCGTTACCCGAAAGTTTTGAGGTAATGACAAAGGTGTTACATGAATAAGACATGAATGTGCGACTGGAGCCGCTGCTACACGTACTTCAGACTGCGTGGGGATAAAGGCGGCGACATTTTGGATAGATTAACTGGGCATACCAGTGGATGTCAGGCAATCTTGCGTAAAACCAGCCCTGCATGGAGTCCATGGATGGAACCTTTTAGAGTGGATTATTAGGTGACCACCAAGCCTGGTAGCATTGTCCAGGTATATACAGTATACGCTGATGCGTTGTACTTATGACCTCTCGCATGAGTGTTAAAATATATAGAGAAATACTAGCGAGGTATTCATAAACGAAACACACAGGTGCGCCCCGTGACTTCCAGCGCTAGAAGATACCTTGTCGCAAGGCCTGGCTCATGTCGCTGGAGTTTGATCGATGGGGGAAAAGGACACACTAAATGCGCACACGAGCCGTTCCAGCGAGTAAATGCCCAAACATTACTCAGTCTTGACCGCCCTATGTGACGACTCTCGGAGAACATGCGGGCACGGCGCGCAGTTAGTGCAGATAGTATCGGAAACCGGAAGACGCACTGTAAGAGAAGTATGGGAAAGGTGCTGCCACGTCCGACGACGTTGACCCTATGGGTTTGTGTGACGCTCTTGTCAGCGGTTACGTCAGGTGAACGTTCCACTACTCTTAAAAAAAAAAAGAAAAAAAAAAGGGGGGGGGGGGACAGCAAATGATTGCCATTTACTGGGGGAGTCTAGCGAATGATAATTGGTCTATATACAACGTTTGGACTGAAATTATTCGATATGCGTTGGGATGTCGAATCTAAGGTTTCGAAACCTCACCACTGTGCCCCCGGCGTACGATTGCCTTCTGGAGCCGAAGCGCTAGCTCAATATTCACTGGATTCTTCCAAAAGATCACAGTGGTGAACACTCGACGTGCAGTGCAAACGTGACTGTATAAAATTCCTTGTTCAGCAGACATAAGGATGTAAAAATGTCTATCAAATTTGGCGTCTACTTTTTGTAAGTTGTAACCTTAAATTAATGGGCGATTTCAGATGAGATCAAACAAAGGGTAGCTGGACGACATTTTTAATTCACTTGATATTCTTATGTAATAGCCTATATTTATATTAAAAATAAAACCATAAATAATTTTGCCAAGAAAAAAAAATATATATAAATCTCGGGACACAACGTATGTCGAACACTCGCATTTATGTACGCGCACTACCGCAGTGATAATTGGTGGTCAATAACTGTATTACTATTATTAGCAGTCATCCAACATCTAGAACTAATATTTGGGGATGGGGAGGTTTCTACGAATAATAATAACTGTTCATTGTGTTATGCGCCTTTTTCATTAAAAACAAAATCCAAAACATGGGTTTGCGAACTTTGCAGGCCTGTATCTCACGATATTTGAATCATGTAGAGAAAACTTTTATAGCATATTGTCCTTCCACACTGATTTAAATTATGTAAATATAGTGTTTGCGCGGTACGGTAGCCGGGAAGTTAGCACTTAAACACGTGAACATCAAAAATTAAAAAAACAAAAACAAACTCTGCCGCCAATTAAAAAAAAAACATTTTTGAGCCCTTTTTTTAAATAATTGCACCACTTATTCTACTATGGGTGTCCAATCCCGTTGGAGCACGTTGCATAATGTGATTGCTGAAGGAGATTTAAACTCCTCCACGGAGCAAATTTTTTGAGCCTGTGCGGGTCAGTTTTTTGGAAAGCGATTCCGACTCAATGTTTTCTTTAGTTGATCAAAATAATTAATTACTGTTGTAATGAGGCGAATAATATCTAAAAAAAATAGTTATCACATAAACAGTGGCAAAATTATGTACAAAATAATTTTAATGCAGCATACAATACGGTTGCATCATAAAACGGGGATTGAAATAAGATCGTGCAGCTGATGGCCGGCGGGAATTTTTAATTTATTGTATATTATGTACATGTGACTGAATCATACATAGAATAAACGAACATTTATTAATTTAACGCCTACAAAACTACTGGATTGCAGGAGAATTGCACATAATAATAATAATAATGTTTATTTTCCACCATAAGATGGTGGCGATCAGGAAAAAAAAAGCTGTCAGGTACAGCTTGACAGGTCCCTGACCGCCTACAGAAAACAACAACAGAGCCGGGAAAAACGAGATTCAAGAAAAAAAAAAAGTACAATGATTGTCGCTATCACACATTTTAAAACAAATTTTAGATTTTTTCCCCCTTTTTTTACATTGAGGCAGGACAGACAGCAGAGTTAAAATTATGCAAAAACTAGTCACAAAGATTACAAAGAAAGAAAGGCAACTACCTCTAGCTGCTGGAGAAAAATGATGATTTTACTTCTCTTAGGGATAATTTATCCTAATCTATACTTTTAGTCATATACGAATTGAGTAGATTAGGGAGAGTGTATTTAAGCATTTGTTTGCAATAGTTTGTTCTTGGTGTAGCCATCCCCCAACATTCAGCACCTCGGGTAGGGTAATTATGAACATTTTTTGATAAGTGTCCAAGATCTGTTAAAAAAGTTGTGTCTTTAAGTTGCTCTACTTTAAGGCTAGTGCTAACCCTACAATCGTATAATGTATGCACGTTTACGACGCGAAATTTCTGAAATAAGCCAGCTGTGTGAAAATCATACGAGACGGCAGCTATAGGCAGTGCTTTTTTTTGCAATACATGTAACTTTTCTAGGTTTGTTAAAGTTGTTGTTCCCCAAACTAAATGGCAATAATTTAAGTGAGAATAAAATAGAGAATTTTATATTAATAATTTAACGCTTGTTGGTAAAATATAACGATGACGATTTAACATGCCCACAATTTGGGATAGATTTGGAATAAGAGAGTTTATATGACTTTCCCACGACATATTTTCAGAAAACGTGACACCTAAGAGTTTAAAACAATTCACAATCTCGATTTTGGTTGAATTCAAAACTATGCCCTTGGTAATGGTAACGAGTTTATTTTTAGGACGAAAAAGCATAGCTTTGGTTTTTTTTTTTTTACATTTATTTGTAATGCGTTGTAATGACTCCACGTTTGTAACCTAGACAGGGCCAGATTTGCCATATCGAATAACAGATCAGGATCATCTGCAGAAAACAGTATGCTCGTGTCATCAGCATAGTTTACAAATTTTGCGCTTACATTAATATTGACTATATTTTTCACGTATATGTTAAAGAGGAAGAGGCCCAATATACTACCCTGTGGTACACCAGAAAGGACTGGCTCCACATTAACATTTGCGACTACCACTCCTTCGCTCAATTTTGATGAAATCGTTGTTTATGGGCACAGAAATAAAGAGATGATGACAATGATGACGATACCAGAGTGTTACATTGCGGGACATTGTGTCTTGTTTATATTTTCTTGTGCCACTGCTGTTCGTTTGAAAGAGGGGCCGGGGACTTTTTTTTTTTTTCTTTATTTGTTTTGCGGATATTTTCCGCATGGGGGGCAGAGATAAAGGCACAAGTGCCTGACGGAGCCTCTACCCCTCAACAGTTCAGCCGTGGCAAAAAAGATAAGGCTGTCACATGCAACTTGTCAAGCTGCACGTTGCAGCTTTTTTCCTCGGTCTCCCCCATCATTTGTTTGACGAAAAAATAAACATTATTGTTATTATTATTATTACAGGCCTGCAACGTTCGCAGACAATCGCTCTAGGTGCCTTGTTTTGGTCATTTCTATCAAAAGGCATATGACACAATTAACAAGTAATATATTTTGTAACTTACTTGCACCCACACATCAGAAGTTCAGTAAAAATTACTGGACTTCTGACAATATTATTATAGTTATTTACTACCGGACATCACCAGTATTCTGGCGGTGCGTGTAAATGCCCTTGCACTTAGTGTACCATCGGTTTTTCAATTCACGATTTGTTCTGTCGAGCTTCTTTTCTTCTGAGCGAAAATATTTATGGATCCTTAGATCAGGCAATGCCATAAAATAATATAAAGTGAATGAAAAATGTCGATCAGCCACCTTACCTTTGAGCTTATCTAAAACACTATTATGACATTTCCCAGAAAAAAAAATACCTTCAGATACATTGTCACAGTGTGCACCGTAACTCGAGCTGCCGAAGCACATGTCATAATATCGAAGAGTTCTATGTCGACCTTTTATACGCAGATCTAAGCAAAACACTAGTACCAACTGACAGATTAAGTTAAGCTAAATCAATATGACACATTTTGTACGACCTGTCAGTCTGAAGCAATAAAACGGCGTTCATAACTCGCAGGACAAGACATTGTAACTGCCGAAGTAAAAGACGATTTACCTGCAGCAGGGCAAGACGATGTACTTGTTGCAGGACAACACGATGTACCTGCTACTGGACAAGACAATGTAACTGCAGCACGACAACAGGATGTACCTGCCGCAGGCCAACACGATGTACCTGCTGCAGGACAAGACGATGTACCTGCTGCAGGACAAGACGATGTAACTGCAGCAGGACAACAGGATGTACCTGCCGTAGGACAACAGGATGTACCAGCTACAGGACAACACGATATACCTGCTGCAGGACAAGACGATGTACCTGCCACAGGACAACACGATGTACCTGCTGCAGGACAAGACGATATAACTGCAGCAGGACAACAGGATGTACCTGCCGCAGGACAACAGGATGTACCAGCTACAGGACAACACGATATACCTGCTGCAGGACAAGACAATGTAACTGCAGCAGGACAAGAGGATGTACCTGTTGCAGGACAACAGGATGTACCAGCTACAGGACAACACGATGTGCCTGCACCAGGACAAGACGATGTAGCTGCCGCAGAAGTGGCAAAGCTTGACATTACGACTGTCGCTAATAAGGCGGTGGACTTCATGCTGAAACTATTTAAGACCACTAAGTCAATTGTAGATCGCCTCACACCCCTGGTCATAAACGTGGAAATCCCATTTCCAAAAGGAAAAGTTTACGACTTCCAGCTGTACAACCTGCCAGATCTGGAACGCAGAGGAGACATCAACATGTCACTGCATCTCCTATCTGGGAACGCCACTCTGGGTGGGGGTCTTGGCCTCACCAAGATACTGGTCGGCTCAAAGTATAGCTACAACCCCTTCTGGGGACTGGAGATGTCGGGCGATGTAGACGTCGAGATATATGACGTCGCGGCTAGGATGAGTTTCACCGTCAACATTTTCAAGGTCAGAGGCCACTTCGAACTTCTCAAGGTTGGTCTCTTCTCTCATATGCTGACCCCACCTGCGATCGGCCTTTCTGTGTTAATCAGAGACCGAACGCAGCAAGGGTTCCAACGTAATTGAACTTGTTTAGTCCAAACAAGAAGTGTCTGGGTGGATGGGGCAAAATAAGACGGTTCAGTGAAGGCCCCGTGGGCAGTACAACTTCTACTTGGCGCGCATACGGAGGGCCGAATTAAAAGCGACGAAGGAAACATTTATGAAGCGCCCATAGGCACGCAGCTCTCAAGTTTCGAGCAGCGCTCCAGGCGATCAAAATTGAATATTTGTGGCTCGCGTTTTGAACATGCGTCGTTACGCATCCTCGCTAGTTTTTTGTACTCCGTTCAATTATGAGTGCCAGCGTAACAGAGGCTACAAGAGCGAGCTCCGAGCTTTCAGAGTCCCTGCCAAGCACACGCGTTCGTGCAGTGCGAGCATCGTTCAGGGGAACATGCTTTTGCAAGTAGTTTCTGCTTCATCATGTAAAGTAGAACATACTCACGGAGGCTATGAAAAAAAAAGTAATACAAATAAAGCTGAAAGGAATATTTGATATGACGCTGATGCCGCATGCGGCATAATTCTTTTTAATGTGCAAGCATTAACTGGTCTCATGGAGCGAAATGACGTCATCAGTCTAAAGCGCGAAAACGGCAGATAGCTTCCTTCGGTTCCATTGCCTGGCGCGCGTCGACGGGGCTCCCATTGGCCGCTGCGCTCGTCACTTTCCACGACCGCTCACCCCATGGCGCTGCGTGTCCATCAGCGCGGAGCGTCCAAGGTCACCAGGGGAGCACACGCGCCGACCGGCGACGAAAAATATGCAGCAGACGAAAAAGAGAGCGGACGAGCAGCTTGCACGCTTTCGCATTCACAACTCATAAGGAATGCTTAGGTGTCCCTCGATCTTTTCATGTATTTTTTTTTTCTTAATTTTTTTTAACGTTTTGCAATTGCACATCTACAGATTCTTGTATTCAAACGTGGCAGGTGCATAACCGGACGTTACAGCGCCGCTTTTATGGTTGTATCGCGTTAATGGTGAAGCCAGCACAGCATGGTCGCGTCTTGCGGACGCGCTCGCGAGACAAATAGACCGATCTCACGATCAAGTTTGGCTACGCCGCCGCTGCCGCGATGCCACGCGGGAATAGTGCGACACGCACTGCAGCTCGGAGCACGTGAAGCGAAAACTCGCGCTGCAAAACTCGGAGTACTTAAAAATGAAAGAATAGAAATATTAAAATTAAAGACGTACACGGACGACCACTCTCTTTCAATTAGCAACGACGAAATGTCCTTAATGTTATTCTTTCGTTTTTAAGTATTCATTATAACAACACGCTCGAATTAACTAAAACTCAGAGATCCCGTGTTCAATCCTCACCACTGCCCGTTTCGATCTGGGTGAGCATCATACCGGCGTGCGTTCGTGTACTACTACTGCGTGATGGTCGTTAGACCCCAGGCTAGCTGTCGTACCAGTGGCGCCACTAGGTTCAGCGGCCTAGTGGCGCCAGTAGGTAGCCCGAACCACTAGGTTCGGGCTATCTAATTATTTTAAGTTGAACTCCTCATTGAGGAAAAACTATGTTTTTCAAAATTTACAAAGGAGAGATCATGCATCTCATATTTTGAGGTAATAACTCTTCCTGAGATATTTACGTTTGAGTTATAAAAACTAGATAGTCCGAAGTCCCACATCCCCCTGTGCAGGAATGTAAAAATGTCCCAGAGAGCTGAAAGTCTGTACAGTACACCTACATCTGACGTTAAATCTCCCCTGCAAATTTAATTCTGATCACTTGAGTAGTTCAGAAGTTTAATCTCTAGCCAGTCCCCCCCCCCCCCCCTTAAATTGTGACATGTGACGCACAATCCACACACACAAAAAAAAAAGAACGAGAAAAAAAGAACGAGAAAAAAAGTCACTGCAGTTATCTAAAGTATCGCCTAGAAAGTGCACTATCAAGTATTACGATTTAATTTCATTTAGAAGTTTACTAAAATGGCGAACAAAGGCATGAATTTGTCGGTTCACTTACGGCGCAGCCAACTACACCGAAGACATTGGGATTTTTGGTTGCTTTTTACTTTCCTGAGACTACGGTACCGGGACGCATGTTCGTCTTTTGTCCCGATAACATTTGCTTTACGAACTTTGACTGCGTTTCTGAATGACACGCGCGAATGCCGCAGTGGTACACACACCGTAGTAGACGGCACTTAGGTTGCACCCTGCTGCGCGATTGACCACTGACTGGTTGTATCAAGTGTGTGCGCAGGCTGGTGATCATGTCTAAAAACAAGGTTACACGAAAAAAACATTTACCCTTTTAGGTAATACATGACGTAGAGACGTTAATTAGCATTTCCAAATATAAAAGCACATAATCCTGAAATATATGGAATTAAGCGAGGTTGTCCTCTTGACGACCAGTGCAAATGTCTACGACGACTGCAGCCAGAAAGTTAGTACAGAGCGCAGCAGAATTAACAATGGGCTCATCCTGGCCACCAGCTTAGCCAGTAAAATGTATGAAAAAGCGTAGCTGCGGTCTTCGCGCAAACTGTGTTGTAAATTGTACCGTCATGCATAAAATTAAAAGCTCAATGCGACCATGCATTTTTTTTTGTTAATGTTTTAAGGGGCGTTTTTTTTTTTTTGTTTTTTTTTTACCAGCAGTCCTATGAATTATACATATGCCACGGGTCGGTCCATGAAAGCTAAGCGGAAAGTGGAGGAGCAGCATTGTGAAAACAAAGAAATGTACAATCGATGTAACCGATCAGAAGGAACTGCTATTGCTTTGCTTTCAGGTTTCAATGTAAAAATGATAAAAGATAGAGTGGTGTTCTTCTTTATCAGGGCGAGCTCTTGCGAACCCAATTTTTTGTGCAACAAAAACAATGCCACTAACAACAACAGTAATACTAATAACAATAATAATACAAATAAGAATATTAATAATAAAAAAAGGCATTTTCTCTTTTGCTCTCTCGCCCCCTTTCTTTTTCTTCGGTCGGCTGCAAACGAACCGAACAGTGACGTTCGGTAATTCGAAGCCGCTCAGAGATATTTGTTGCCCTCACTGTTGATTCCTCGACATACGATATGTTCATTCAGTAGTTCTTCACTCTGTGGTACTGATCCAAACATTCAGGAAGGCGAGTAGCAACAAACAATATCTGGAAGCCAAGTGAATGCTTTCTTAAATTTTATTGCATATTGACGATTTTAAATGAAGTTCCGGAGTCACCAGAGAGGTGGTACGACTCGTCATCAGAAATGGTGGAGCACTCATCACTTTCAAATGATGATTCTATTTTTGTTCCTTTTTCACCAACGAAAGCAGGCATCCAAGCTGAGGCTATGTCGTTTTTTCACCTGTTGGTGAACATTTGAAACAAATAACAAAGTAACCTCAAGGGGGCGGAGGTAGCACCTCCATGTGCCAGAGTGTGCACGAAACAGCTCCAAAACCGAAACAAGAGTAAGGCTCGTAGCCGGTTTCGTAATGGATGGCACAATTGGCACTCGTGATCAGTAGCCAAGGGGTTAAGTTATGGCGTGACTGTACATATGATTAATCCAATCTCTTCTACCGCAGTTTCAAGAGTTTGGCCAGGTGCGAGTGACCAGATTCACCGGCGCAACAGAACTGTTCAACTGGCTTGGCGTTCTGATAATGAACAAAATTATACAAACTGGGAGCGACTTGATAAGACAAAAAATGGACGAGAAAGTAAAAGAATACCTAACCGAAGTTCTGGAGTCAACCAAGCTTCCAATAACAGTGAGCTGAGCAAAAAGATTCCTCACCCACATCAAATGTCTGCTTGTTTTGAAATAAAGTTACGAGCTACTTCTCCAGCAGCCTTCAATTTTGTACCACTGAATGTATCATAAAAGATATCACACACCCCAAAGTATTCAGCAGCAAAGCAACTGCCATTGTTTGAATCCATTGAACTCTACTGACACCCATGGTTACATACTCTTTTTTACCTTACGACCGACCGCAGCGGATACTATGAGAAATCGGAGCCAATCCAAGGCCATCCGAGTGTCACGTGACCAGGGTGTCGAACCGAAATTTTTATCGGTTCGGTTCCGGTTCCGGTTCGGGTTCACGGCTTTCGGTTCGGTTCCGGTTCAGTTCCGGGGAGCAAAAAATAACGGTTCAAACCGGTTCGAACCGGTTTGAATTGCTAAATTGAGAATATATTTTTTGCGTTGTTCTGGCAATATACACTATTTACGCCGTGAAACGAGTAACTATATAGTTTCTTCGATCGTCCGCGCACTTTACTTTTGTTTTTAGGCGCCAAAAATATGAAATTCAGTTCTTTAATTTCGACGCAACAGTAGAAGAAAATCTACATTAACATACATAACGTCGTGTTCCTACGACTCAACATCCCTTTGTTTACCAGTAACATATATTTTACCTGAATCAAAATGTTTAAGTACAAGAGTAAAGAGTTGAGCTTATTGGTACATGCCTGTAAATAGATCAGCTTCAAATTTAGAACTATACTGTATTTCCTTGTCTTTTCTTCGTGTTTAAGTAAAATTCTAAAGTTCAAGCTGATCTATTTACACGGTATAAAATGTCGCGAAGTGTGGTAGGTCGTCTAAAATACCCGTGATTGGTACAACTTTGTGTCGCAGTATTAAAAGTGAAATCGTGTTCTTGAACTAAGGAATTAATTACATCACATAAAATTATGGAATGAGCTCTTCGTGGCGATATATATCATGAAGTAAGGTTCACGAAATACACTTCACAATATATATGTATATGATGACGACCCAACTGAGCTAAAAGCAATGAAATTTTCAAAATGCAACAAATGTTTTAGGATAATTCCTTTCAGTCTATTTCTATAGAAACTCCGAGCGGCAATCCAAATGCCTGTTGTATGCGACTAATCATGGCGCAAGGAGTAATTGCACTTGTTCACTCTAATATATACGCACCTTCGCACTCAGATCGAATCTGGCCCAAAATAGCACTTGCCCAAGTGAACATTTTTTTATACAGAATAAGCTGGCATAGCCTGGCTGTTGAGGTTTGTTCTGGACAAGATGCTGGACAATTTAATTTGCAAATGAGCATCATCCTTGCTAATTGATGATTTTAACACGATAGCGTTAAGGAGCTCATGTCGCAGAAAAGCCGATGTCGGTGGCGTGACTGGAAAATCCTGGTTGGTCGATAGCTTCATGACATCAGAGCCACATACCCTCGCGCAAGAATTTCAAACAACCCAAAATGCTTACGTGAAACGTGACATCACGCGTGGAATGAGAGTGATTAAAACATGACATGTAATGCGAGTTAAAGCTTGCCGTATGTCTCAAATGATTTCACTTTTAAAGATAATTCCTTTGCCTTAAAAAAAAAAAAAAATTAAGAATTTTAGACGGGATTCGAACCCACGACCCTTTAGTTGCGAGTCAGACGCTTGTCACTAGGCCAGGCGAGGCACGCTTGCGCGGCAAATGAGAATGCGATGCAAACGAGGCCCGTTGACGCTATTGCGTTCCACTTTTAAAGGCGAATCTTAAGCTTCCTTCAGGATTTTTTTTTTTGTTAAGTAAAATGAAGTAGTATTTCACGTTCTACTCGACATGGCAGCTACTTGATTAGACACTTTTTGGCGGTTTGCCAGAAAGTGTCATCGTCATAGTTCCGCCGTGCGCCCCTGTTTACTTTGTTTTTGTCCAGCCCACAGACACATAAAAGTAACGTTCACCACATAAAAAAGGCAATAACGGACTTCTATATGTTTGAGAAGTTATATGTGTGAGAAACACAAAACACATAGTTATTTAAAATTAGCTTCAAAATCCGAAACGTATGTAAGGCCGCCCCATATCACTTACAACGTGCCTGTCGAGGATAAAAACGCCGGAAAATATTGGCAGAAAACCTTTCAAATAATTTGGGGGGCATTGCTTTAGGGTGGTCGGCCCTCAATTTATGTTGTCAAATATTCAATTAGTAATTAAATATATATTTATATTGATCAATAAATTTTACTTTATAAAGTTCGCATAACCGCTTTAGACCGACGCAGAAAAACGATACTCGAAACTACGCGAGCTGTGGAGTATGCGTAAAAGTGTTTTACTGTTTTCTTATTGGCAGTGTGAAACATCGGGTTGCAGGGCACGCTAAAAAGGACTCTGTGCTCACATGATGAATTGGAAGTCAAATACACGAAATGTTCAAAAAGGGAGAGATAATTAATTTTATTTTTCCAAATAATCACTTGCAGAACGCCTTACTGCAAAAAGAGATACGTAAAGATGCACGCAATGGAATTCATGATCTTACATAAATAGCGCGAAGAACAGACGAAGATTCTTAAAATCTTAGTATAAATTACATTTCATCAGCTTGCATGAGCTCGAAACTTCGCGAAATAGTGCCTCGGGAGGCTAATGTTATATTCGGTTTTACCTGTACTTGTTTTAGGCCCTCACTTTACAACACTATGCTAGAATAGTCATGCGCTCTAACATTTCTCTAGGCTGCCATATCTCATCGCGAGACTGCTATAAACACTACACAACTTTACAATTAGGACATCTATTGCTAGCGTTGCGAATTTCACATTTCACCAGAAAGTTGAACTTTTTAGCATGGTATGCACGGGATGTCATCGCACTGTAGGCTGGTGGTCATTCTGATTTCTTCTTGCTGCGAAATTTGAATTCGACGGTGCAAAAGGCACGCTGCAGGAGGTGCGAGCTCAGTGAAAGCAAAGTATTTGAAAGGCACGTATTATTATTCTTAGTGCATCGTTGTGAGGAACGGCGCGAGCGTCTGGCATGACAAAAACGTGCTTTTTGGCAAGAGCGTTTTTACAAACAAAGTAGTTTCCGGGGTCACCCTTTTGGTCTGCGCCAAAGGTGCAGGGAAGAGGAACCTTTACAACACAGTATGTTTTTAAAACTCCCCCGCTCCCTCCCCCCCCCCCCCCCCCCCAAACACACAGACGCGCTAGTTTCCCCAGTGTCGTATCCGTCAGCAAACAAATTATGATACTAAACTCTGGAGAGCTACCGCGATCTATAAATGACGACGGCAACCAGACAACCGGCTTGCCGGTTGTCTCGTGGCCGCCGTTGCGCATAGATGGCGGCAACCCTTCCAGCCTTTCCAGTCTGGCTTGCCCACTTGCGGCCGGCGATTACTTCATTCCCACCATAGTACAGCTTCACTGGTCCTACTTCTTCACCAGAGTGGAAAGGCTGAAAGTATTTCTGAGGAATTGCCTCCTCCGTTGGTGAGTTAATTCGACAATTTTATTTGACACTCATTAACCGCAACTCTTCATTGCTTTTATTTTGCACCCTGTGAAGTTTAAAGGGGTCATGAAACGATATGGGGTTGGAATGTTCATGACTTTTCCGAGGCGTACTGGTCCTCTGGCCCAAGTGTACTCGCACAGGCCACCACTGATTCAGAAGCTTCTTTGTCGCGGTGCAATGGCGAGGATTAAACGAGACTATTTGTTTTAGTCTTGCCTTCGCAAAGATTGATGTCGTAATTGTGGGATCAAAACCACCCGCCTGTCGACAGTCGAGCGCGGCTCATGGATTGGACAGGAGTACTGCGTGAGCACACGACTTCGGCTCGTAACAGTCAATGCCTCGGTGGACACTCGGGTAGTGGCTCGTGTCCAACCACTGCGGTGATGAGAAGAGCCCAACTCTAACAATGCCTGGAGCTCCAGCACGGGTTTTCCTCCTTTAAAACCCCAGCGCGGGGCGTATGATTAACGTTGGCGGCATAAGACAGGCACTAGGCGACGTGGCCGCTTCTGGCTCCGAGTTGAGGGGACGAACGATGCTCATATTTCTCTAATCTTTGGGCGACTGTCATTGCCTAGAAAAAAGAGCAAAGCCAAGTTCAATCACTTATTAACGTTTGGGAGTGATCCTGAGTAGTATTAAGTAATGTATAGAAACATTTTTATAGCTCATTTAAGCAAAATACAGAGGGGGTCGAAACTTGGGCAATAACTTGAGAACGACGCTCGTGCGAGACTTACAGCGACCGCCAACGTTCGGCTGTTCCTCTGAGGTCACTAAAATATCCCCTTTCTTTAGGTATTCCTTCCGTACACACGTGTAGTTCTACGTAACGTCACATTAATAAGTCGCATTTAGTCATTTCAGTACTTCTATTCTCAGGGACATCTTTCGGATGCAGTTCAGCAACAACGAAAAAAAATGTCGGTGCCTCAATAATGTAAAACTGGTCTTGCAACAGTTTTTTTTTTTGTATTTCAATAAATAGTGTTAAAAAATAACCCCTGACGTTGATAGCTTGCGGAAACATCCATTAGTTTTCCCCTAATAACAGATGCTGAAAAAATAAAGGGTAGATCGACTGTCGATATTTCCTCAACTCGCAATTTGAACAAGCGGCCACGTGATCTGACGCTAATTATATACCGGCTAGGGTTTGGAAAGCAAAAGCTTGGCCTGAGCTTCAGATATTGTTAGAGTTGGGCTATTAATTCTCATATTTAATTGACATTAGCCATTACCCGAATATTTGGCGATACTGATTGTCATGAACCCGAGCACTCAACTAGGGGTTATGAAAATCGCTTACGTCACGGTGTCAGGTGACTCTCGGAGCGAAATTGCAATGTCATGTTACGTCATGTTGTGAATAATGTTAATACATCTAATGACTTCCTCAAATTAAATCGAGTTGACGCAGTGAGTCACGTGACGTCACGAGGCCACATTACATTACTTGACAACATGTATTGACACCATAACGTCACGTGACAACATGACATATGGTTAAACCTAGTGCCAATACAAAGGTGCCACGAAAACCCACAATTTATCATACATTGCAATTCTCTATATGACGATTTGATCAATAGATAGAAATACAGCCACCAATTTTTTTTTCATATGTTCATTTTGTGATACTAACAAAAAAGGAAGAAGAAATATTACCTTGAACCGTTTTGAACCGGTTACCGTTATATTTCTTTTCGGTTCGGTTCCGGTTCAGTTCCAAGATGGCGGCGAAGGTTTCGGTTCGGTTCAGTTCCGGTTCGGCTAAAAATAACGGTTCTGTTCCGGTTTTCGGTTTGGTTCGGTTCCGGTTCGACACCCTGCACGTGACCTTAGAGAGGGTGTGCAGTCATGGGCGGAGAGCGTATCACGTGCTACGTTCAGACACCTGAATTGGCCGAGATGGCTTGCAGCGTCCGCTGCGGTCGAACATAACGGGAAACGGAAAAGCTCTTATGAAGGGTAAACACAACAGTTCTATATCAGTGACAACTACTTCAGAGTTCAACCATCAGAACACTTTTCATGAAAACAGACCGATATGTGTCGCGAACCGGCCGAGGTTCGAGTTTGACCAGGTTCGACTTTTTCGAACTTTTCGTGGAAATTCCGACGAACCTTGTATTGAGGTTAGACTCGTGTGCGCATGCACGACAGGCTGGCCAGTTGGCTTCGGATTGGATGGTAATGGCTAAGGGATAAATTAAGGGCACCGCTGATTGGTTATTTCAGTTAATACAGCACAAAAAATTAAGCTATTAACGTCTTCAGTGATTAGAATTGGTTTCTTTTAATTCAACTGTTCATAAAATAAAATAACCCTTTGCATAAAAATAAATTCTCCAAACCTAGACATGCGTGTATCAAGGTCTGGCCACACTGTCCGCAAAGTCGAACCGGTCGAATCTGGTGAAAAGTTCGAAGGTTCGTCGAACCGGTTCGACTAGACGTCGCCTCCTTGTGGCCTCTTTTCTTCTCGTCCCTTTTCCGAAATACCCCAGTCTCGGGTTGAACAAAACTATGGTGAACCCTGAAAGTTCAACCTAAAAATCCGGTTCGAAAAAAGTTCGCGACACCCCTAATTTCTACGTGGGATGGTACCGCCAAGTAACCGGCTAATGTACAAGATTGGGCTATGACTGTTTAATACTTGCAAGTGAGACTAGCAGTATCCATTTGCTCAAAACTATTATCAGCTTGAATGAAGTGCCCAACTGCAGGAGGCTTTCCTTGTCAGCTTGTAATACTGTAAAATATGGAAGTTTTATTTACAAAGGCAGCATGACCTAAAGCTCCCAGGTGCATGATAACCTAATGCCTCCGATATCCCAGTAGCTAGAAACATTAAAATGTGCACCACACTTCTGCCGTTTCATCTGAAAACCTGGATTATTTTAAGTCAAACCGCGTTTTGTCCAATAAAATTGTCCAAAACACAGCTCACTGGAGTTTGGGCTATTACCTGATGCCTACCTAAATTCAAGATCCCGGTGCAGAGATAGGATCTTTTTCGTTGTGTGCAGGTGTCCAAACAGACTACCAAGTAGAGAAATACTCTTCAGTTCTGTGTGTAATATCTTGGCAAAGACTAGCCTGTATAGAGTACCAAAAATCATCCATGCTGCGAGTTGTCCATAATAACAAGACAAAATTGCATGTATTTACCCAGTGTGTCCCCAAAACTTGTCTATATAGCAGGGCACCTATATTAACGGGATACATATTAACGAGGCGTGACTGTATTGTTTGTAATACCTCTGCTACATGCTTGCACAACAGCAAAAATAAATCCCTTAAGGATGGCATAGTAGCAAAATATGCTTTAAAGGGGCTGTGCAACGATTATGGGTTGGAATGTTTCTCACCTTAAGGCTCATTCGCGCAGTTGCGTCGACTGCGTTGTGTGATACAGCAAAGCGCCTCCCATTTGCTTGTCGTAAGGGTCGCCATAGCAACAGCTCGGAGCAAGCAGTCCTAACACAGGCAAACACAACTGAGTGAACGAGCCTTTACTCTAGCTTATTGGCACTAGTGGAATACTAGTGTCCTCGTACATGTGCAGTGCAATTTCAAGAATAAAATCGGACATCCTTTTTGAGTCTCTCCTTTGCAAAACTTCACGACACAGTGGTTGTGAGTTGCATTTTTGACATGGAGCCCCCGTGGTGACGATGTTCAAATGCAGCTCATAGATTGGAGTACAGCGACAACAGTTGGCTTGGGCTCTGGAAGTCAGCACGTGCCCTGTGCTTTGCCAACTCCAGCACGTGATGGTGATGAACTCTGGCGGCGTACAGCTGGCACCAGATCACATGACTGCTTTTTCTGACTGCAAGTTGAAGGGGTTGATTGAATGCTGCTCATTATCTCCATTATTTTTTCCTGCAATTGCCACCGAGTGGAGAAAAAAAAACTAACGCCTGTTTTGTAGGTTATGCTCAATTCTGAAGATTTCGGGATGATGAGAAAATTGCACATTAAAAAGCCCTAGTAAAAGACACTACCGTCATTTGCTTCGCGAAAAATAGGATATATATTTTTATATCTAATTTTAAACAGAAGTAGAAATCGAAACGGAAAATTTGGCAACGTCCGGCAACGTTGGCTTCGGGCCGCCAAGAACGTGGCAATCCCATGGTACGAGATCTCACGTGATCCTCTGCACAACAGGCAGGATGGGGGCGGGCGTGTGCCAGTCGCAAGTGTCGTCTGCACCGCACTCTTCATCAAGTCTTGGTGTCTACGACATTCGACGACGCCTGCACAACTGTGGCATAGGAGTGCGCACGTAGTGTCTGTAGTGTGGATGAAACTCTGGGAGACAATAATTAAACGGTGAGATGAAGGCAGCGGTAGCGATGCGGGAGACGGCGGTAACGGCGGGACCACGGCGGAGCGGCTGGAGGGCTCCCTAGAAGCGCACTCCGCACAGTTCGCAGGCGTGCCAAGAGGAAACGTTGCTGACATCACCGATTACACTTGCCCGGAGAAGTAAAAACAAGCAAAAAGGGGGCAATGGTGATGGCGTTTAGCTCAATGTTGGCTACGCCCACGCTGTAGCCTTGACTGCACTGTTGGTCATGCCTTAATTTGCCTGCTCGAGTCGGCCGATTTCGGCAACTTGGCGAGTTGCAAAGTTTGCCAGTCCGTTTAAAAAACATTTAGACAGAACTAGGTTGTAATATTTGATGAGTGGTCTTCCTAGGTGATACTGAAAAGGATTGCATTGTTTTTTTCAGAAACAATAATAAAGCAGAGTTGCCCTTTAAGCAGTATTTAATGTAAGTCCAAAAATCGTAGCACTAACCATTTTGGACGAGCCTAGCTTGTCCACCTGGAGCCGTCCCCAAACTGTTTAGGACGAGTGTGACTCAAACAGTCATCCGCACACCCTCGCATGCCCCTTGGCTGTTTTGAACGACGGAGGCTTGCTCAGAGCTTAGGTTGCGGCGCTGCCAAGAGATGGCAGCACGTATACTGTAATTCTTTTTACTGTACACATTTTTAAAAATGGCAACCAATGGTGGAGACACGTGTGGTCCAGGCAGCATGTGCAATAAAAATAATAAAAAAATAAATGCAGTTTTAAAATCAAACCCTGCAAAAAAAAAAAAAAATCGCTAAGGGGTACACCATGCACAAAATAATATATTGGCTGTTTCAGCCAAGGCTTCAAAAAATTCCTGAAAATAGGGTGGTTGAGCAAAAAAAAGAAGCTCTTTCCCGGAACAAACTGCCAGCCATGGCAGACGTCAAGGATTGCAGAAACATGCTAATTAGTTATTAGCTAAAATTTTCTAATTACCGTTTTTTATTAATAAAAGTAAATACATGGTTCCATTGAGAAACTTGCTAAACACTATAGAAAAACACTAAATCAACACATTTTAGAACGATATGACAAGGGAGCACTTTATGGCATTCCGAAGAAACGCTTAATTTGGATGCATCTCCAGGTTTCAACTTCCTATTGGAGCGCATCTTTGTGCCAGCGGTCCTGCTCTCCGGTGGCCGAAGAACGAAGCCACCGCCTTTCCTCCCTCGTAGGATGGAGGGAAGTATGGTGCATGTGTGTTGCGCGCCTTGGCCACCGGGCAGTAGGACTGCTGGCGCAAAGATGCACTCTGATAGGAAACCAAAACGTAGAAATGCATCCGAAATGAGCGTTTTTTTGGAACACCGTAAAGTGCTGCCCCTGCCTGTATCTTTCCAAAATGAGTTGGATTTAGTGGTTTTTGCTAATGCTTAGCGAGTTTCTCATTGGAACCACATGTTTATTTGCACTAATAAAGAAGTTAATCACCATAGATTAGTGTATTATTTAGCTAATTAGTATTTTTGCAATCCTTGACACCTGTCGTGGCTGGCAGTTTGTTCCCGAAAAGGGTTTCTTTTTTTTTTTTTTCATCAATCGCCCTATATTATGACTCCCTGCGCTATATGTCACCTGCACAGACTACATTCATGTAGCTTTCACGGCTTTTTGTTAAAACATTCACTGAAAGACCCTGTATATATAAGAAGAATAGCTGAAAAGCGTTCCACTCCAAAGTATACTAACCTTTCCTTGAATTGCAATCGAAACCATTATTTCCACAGCAGTTTGGCTATGATAGTCAATTCTTTCTTCTCCCTTGATAATAATGACTCATTATTGAGAAATAAATAAATAAGGGGGCAATGCGGGAGCTCCAACGTATTTTACATAGTTCATTGTTCCAAACTCGCAGGACAGATGATGACAGCGATACCAGTAAACTCATGCTAGCTCAGAGATCTCCGATATACATAGGTGTTAACTCACTTTGAGCAATACATGTACTAATCACCAAAATATCATTTTATTACAAAAAAAACTCAATATGCCAGGTGCTGAAGAATACAATATATTTACAAGCCAGCAGCAGAGGTTACCCAACAATTAAAGCTTAAGCCTCCGAATGTCTTCTTGACGAAAGTCATTTCTGCAAGATATTTTGAGAAATATGAGCATCAGCAGTTTGCACCTAAACAGCGCTGCACAGTTATGATTAGAACTTGATAATACTACGACTTCTATTTCTAAGTTGAGATGAGTGCATGCAGAAAATACAGGGTGTTTTTTTAAGTCTTTACAGATTTGTTTTAAAAAAACCGCAAAAGCTACACACATTGTTGTCTGTGCAGGCGAGTTATAAGGCCAGGGGGACATAATACAGGGAGATAATCATCACAGTAAGTTGGTTCATTAAAAAAATTGTTAACTTTCAAATGACAGAACATAAAGATATGGTTCCAGTCCAAAATTTGCTGAGTGTCCATCAGAAACCACTAAGTAAATAAATTTCAGGAAGGTTTGGGGTGCGTGGGAAGCGCAGAGTGTGATAAAGTTACCACTTGTGTGACAGGCACAAGGCAAGCGGTATGAAAATGCAACTGCGTGGTTTTTCTGCCTCTTATCATTCACATTTTTGCACCGCCAGCATTGTGCTTGTTACACAAGTGGTAACTTCAGTGCTTTTCCACGTGCCCCAAATATCTATAAAATTTACTTATTTCATGGTTTTCGGTGACGCTCAGCAAGTTTCTAATTGAAATCATACGTTTATTTTCACTAATTAAAAAGCTAATGAACAAATTTTAGTTAATTATCCGACTTATTGTGACGATTAGCACCCTATATTATGTCCCCCTGGCCGTATATCTCACCTGCACAGATTACATTAGTGTAGCTTTCACAGCTTTTTAAAGATCTGTAAAGATTAAAAAAGAAAACACCCTGTATAATGAACACATGATCTGAAATAATGAAGTAATACTGTAAACGACGCAATTTTCGCAGGCTCAAAGTTTTGCGAATCGAGCCATAGTTGAAACACTAAACATTATTCACGGGTTCTAATTTTCGCGAATCCAGACTGACAACAGCCCTCCCCCTTGCCCTCTTGCCTGCCCGGTTGTCCTTCCGTCCTTCTAGGAATCTGCAGCTTCAGTCAGTCAGTCAAGATCTAGGAAGGGGAGTACGGCAGTAGGTTGCGTGACTAATAGTCCGGACATCACCACCGTTACCCACAGCTTCGAGACGCCGACAAAAGTCGGTTAGTGTTCCCGTCGGTTTTCTTCGACGTGAACCTTTCTCGAGTTCACTTTTCGAGGTCACACACTCTGCATGAAAGGCCAACAGCAAAGGGCGATGGGGTCGAATGAGTGTGCGTAAATAAGTTTAGGGTCCAAACTAACTTGGTCACACCCCTGAACCTTTCTTGAGTTCACTTTTCGAGGTCACGCACTTTACATGAAAGGCCAGCGACAAAGGGCGATGGGGTCCAAGGATTGTACATAAGCCAATTCAAAGTAGGTTTAGGGGCCAAACTAACTTGGTCGCGTTCCGTGGTCGTAGACGCCAGCACGCTCTGTATCAGTGAGGTATATGTTTTCTTGTGCCCGTAAGTCTGCTGTCCCGCGATGTTGTTACTACGTTACTTCAAGCCAGTGGTCGAGAAGGCAGATCATCATACGCCGGGACTGCCTGATCCACAGGTATGCAAGACCACACGTGACAAACATTCTTTTGCTTCGGCAAATGAAAGTGTTATTGCCGCTTTTACCGCCGTGGACTGGTAAAAGCGGAAATGAAGGCCCTACTCTGCTTACGATGACGAACATAGATGCAAGAATGGAAAATATGCTGTGGAAAATGGGACAATTGCTGCAGTAAGGAAGTTTTCTGATGGAAGAGAAAAGGTTCTCAACAAGAGCAACCTCAGGAGGGTGAAGACCGCCTATATCCTAGCCTGCAAGTCCTGTCATTCGGAAGAGCTGGCTAGCTTACCTTGTAGACTTCGAGGTGTCAAGCCTGTGCTTGGAAACTTGGATGATGACGTACGGGCATACATTGTGGAGCTTAGAGAAGCGGGTGGGATTGTAAACACCAGGATTTGCCTCGCTGCTGCACTGGGCATTGTGTGGGCGACCAAACCCACACTCTCGCCAGAGTTTGGTAGGACTCTTGTTCTCGATAGACCCTGGGCAAGATCTTTTCTGCACAGGATTGGATTGATCAAGTGGAAGGCTACGAAGACTGCGCAAATTTTTCCAAATGATTTCGAGGGTGCCAAGAAGTTCCTGCATACTATCGACGAGAAAAGAAACAACTTCAATATTCCCGACGACTTGGTGCTTAACTGGGACCAAACAGATGTCAAGCTGGTTCCGGCCAGCAAGTGGACGTTGGAGGCCCGAGGTTCCAAGAAAGTTGGGGTGGCTGGCTTCGACGACAAAAGGGAAGTCACCGTTTTGATGACTACGATGCTTTTTGGCAAACTCTTGCAAAAACAGACAGGTGTCATGCCGAGGTGAAGTCTCCAACTGACTGGGACGTGTGGCACAGTGACAACCATTGGAGCAACGAAATCACAATGCTGCAGTTCGTTGACACTGTTCTTCCGTACAAGGAGACGTACAGGAGTCATGTGGGTGATGCCAGTCAACATGCACTTTGTATTTTTGACGTTTTCGCTGCACATCGTACAAAGAGTCTTCTGTAAAAAACTAGCTGCAAACAACACTGAGTATGTCTTCGTCCCGGCAAGCTGCACGGGACTCTTGCAACTGAACGACCTAAACATTACCAATGTGTTCAAGACTGTAATGAGGAATCGCTTTACCCAGTGGTATGCCGAATGTGTACAAGAGGTGATGGAGAAAGGACAAAACGCAACTGACGTTAAGTTGACGTTAAGATCAACTTGCGAGCAAGTGCTATGAAGCCCATTCACAGAGCGTGGCTGATTGAAGTGTACGCGGATCTCGAGAACCGTAAAGACGTGATATGAACCGGCCATACTTTGGCAGGAATTGTCTGAAGGTGCCAAATAAACTTCTTGAGGTGAGTGTGAATTCCGACTTATTGTCTTATTTACTTTAAGATACTTTCCATATCTTATTCACATATCGCATATGATTATATCGTGATACTTTTTGGGTGCGCGTTTTCCTGGTGTCTCAATGCTGCTTTCGAGGTGATGAAATTTTCCCCGAATTGTTCACAAATCGGAGGCGGTTCGTGAAATTTGCGAAAATTAGGTGCACACGAAAATTAAGTCGTTTACAGTATGAGGAAATTTCAATATTGTACAGAAAGAGTATATTTATTCAGTGTGCAGTCAAGCTGGTTAGCCTTCAACAAGTAAAAAGTCTTTGACCATAGAAATTAAGAAAAATAAAAAAGCATAGGATGCACATGTTTGGTTCCTCTTTTGTGTTTTCCCCACCGAAGAACCTAAGGTACTTCTGCATCATCATTACTAGACCAGACATACTGTTGCGGCAATTTATAACTGTGTTCTCACACACTTGTGCCTTAGTACCTTTCTTTGAATGCCTCAAAAGAATGGGCAAGCAGGGCAGGGACGCAGCCAGGGAGGGAGGGAGGGGGAGCTTATGGGGCTTTAGTTTCCCCCAAAATCCAGCCGACCCGATAGTATACATATGCGTTCTGAACCCCCCTCACCCTCTCCAAACCCCAAGTCGGGGACATCCCAGCCACCTCAGCTCCCCCCAAAAAAACATTCCTGGCTATGGCACTGAAGCAGGGATATGTCCTGTTTTCAATAATCCAAAAGCAAGGGAGGTATTGAAAGATACAAAGATGACTCAAGAAGAATCGCTCATTATTTCTATACTTTTGCAACTTAGTGTTGTCTTCAAAAATCATGAAGTTGGAAATAGTACACAATGACCAAAATGGAAAATAAAAAAAGAAAACATTCACCAAAAGAAAAAAAATTACAGGGCAGCAAATTCATGGTCGAGTCAAATTTGTAGAAACCACAGGGGTGATTACCTATGAATGCGATAGCATTTATCGCTGCACACTGCCTTTGTGACACACGTTGCACACCGGCTATGTGCTCATGCAGAGTCACGTGCACAGATCATGTACATAGGTCACGTGATATCAGGTCACGTGACCTAACATCCTTAGAGGTCAACCTCTAGGATGACCTCAAGGAAGACGTCTAGGGGGGCTATGCAAGAAGGCGGAACGAAGGGACCGGAACATTATTGCCTGCTGCGATTGGCCAGCGGCGTGGCGCTGACCAATCGTAGCAGGCGGCTATGTCCCGGTCTCTTCGTCCCGCCGTCTTGCATAGCCCCCTAGGACGATGTCCTAGAGGACGACGTCAAAGACATCTAGAACGGCCTCCAAGATGACCTCTAGGACGACCTCTAGGACGACATCAAGGACGACCTCTAGGAAGACCTCAAGGACGACGTCCAAGAGGACGACATCTAGGACAACCTTTAGGGTGATCTCGAGGGCGTTGTCATGGATGACCTCAAGATGACGTCCTAGGACACGACATCTAGGACGACGTCAAGATTGTCAGATCCTTTGAAGAGGGTGCAGATGGGAAGGAGTGCAAACTGCCACTCTGCATATTGCGCATTGGGGTGCAAGCACAGTGAACAGAAATGGTCTACTGTGCACACTTACATTGCATTAGGAGACCAGTATATACATAGCAGAAAATTTTGAGTGGTAGCTTAATAATGCTATCGCATTAATATACACAGCTCAACAATACTGATGTGCCTCACGGGCTGTCGTTTCCAGGAAAATATGGTCAATATAACAGCACTCACCTCAAGCTCAAGACCTGCCTCACTTCAGCTGGAGTGAGCCTCCAAGTCATTGGTCCAGCATTGGTTCCCCAGATATCAAGGATTTCGGACACCTTCAATGACAAAGAGAGAAAGTATAGTCACACTTAACCCTTTCACTGCCGCGTGTTTTTCTGACTGTTTTTCAGCCCTGCCTGTTTTGGGAGCCGTAGGGGGTGCACATAAAATGCAAAACGAGTAGGTATACTCAGGCCAGGCACATATCCAGGGGGGGGCATGGGGCCTGGGCCGCACGTGCGGCGGTGCGAGCGTAGAGTGTTTGTCGACGCACACGAAAAATCCATGGAACCCTAGCCATAAACAGCTTCGCTGTAAAAGGATCCACCCGGTGCACTTGCTCTTCACAGTTTAGTCTGAGAAACGTTAAGAATCCCTTACGTTTCCCAGCCGACCCCCGGATGCGTAGAGCAGTATCTACGCTCATGACAAGTGGGGCAGATCGCACCGCTCACAAGTGTCGTTACCATGCCAATGTTGCACCTCACTGAACTTACAGATTCATAGCCACGTGTTTTTTATCTCTTTTTAAAAAATGCAATCTTTTCCGTAGTACTGACAAACGTGAACGGGGCATCGATCGCGTTGAACAGTTGCTGTTTTCGTGGTTAGGCTTAGCAGGCCACGATAAATGTTCTTCCATTGCCGTTCTCCGCTTGTGTTTGCGCTGCCTTTCTTCGAACTTGTGCTTGCTCTGGTAGTTCCAAACGCGAAAATCGTGCTTTTTGTTGTCTATTGCAAACCGAACCGGATAAATGCAGAAAGTGCTGCTGTCCCGAGTGACAGCCCCTTGAAGATGGCCGATATTCGCATAAACTTGTGATTTTTCAACTTACTGCAAGTCAGTCAGACACGTCTTTTTTTTTTTCCAAGTTCTCGTGCAAATATTGTTTGGATTTTTTTTACTCTTAAAAGTAGGATGACCGATGATAATAAAGCAAGCAAAAGCAAAAATCAACAATTTCCAAAAAGCCTTAATTTTTCGACCCATATCTCCACTTGATACGGCTCGAACAGCTTGGATCAGGCACAAAAGGATTCATTTTAAGTCAGATGATTACATACCATTTCCATATTGAGAAGCGTTGAAATCTGGGAAACACGAGAAAACTTGTCCCTGATTGACCAGGTTGTCACTGAAGTCATGTAACTGATGAGGTAGCGCAATTCCTTGTCAAACTGCAGTCCACCAAGCTAGAAGATAAATGTTCTGTTAGCAGTCATTTAATGCTAACAAGCTCTTCCGATTTCCATAAATGTATACAGGGTGACATAAATAGAGGGGCTGACTGTAAAATGAGCTGAAAAAATCGGTACCAGCATGCAGAGGGCTAAAATTTTCGTGAGAAGCATATTTAAGTGGTGGATTTTACCTTGTGAAAGTTCATTGCATAGCTCCATTCCTGTGAAAAGTTAGATTAATTTTACCATTTCGAATAATGAATTCTGACACACATAACCGAGTCGCCAGATAGGCATGCCTTCAGTGCCTATCTGGAGATGGAGCTGCAAGCACAACTCTCAGGTGACTCAATCATCTGCCAGTTGTTGAAAATGTCAAGGACGTTGCTCAAATTTTTTACAGGGATGGAGCTATGCCGAAATTTGGCAACATAAAATCTAACATTAAAATACTGCTTTCACAAAAAATTTGAGCTTCCTATGTGCAAGCGCTGATACTTCTGGCTCATTTTAGAGCCAGCCCCTCTATTTATGCCCCTTTTAAACACATAAGCTAGGAGGCATCTCAATTTAAAGAAGCATAGTATATATTTAACCATGGTAAAAACTACCCGAGAGTGGGGTCACTTAGGCAGTAACAAACACACAGACATTTTGAGACGAGTCTGCATTGTGCCCTAAGTAACGCCAATCTCGGGCACTTTTTACCATGTCTAACCTCCACCAACTACTTGCACCCTATGTTTTGCTCATATATTTGAAATGTAAGAACTGACATGAACATCAGAAGCCCTGTTGAAGTAATTTCTTGTCTGTGCAATGTATGGCAACACAGACACAGCTTTCCCAATCCTCCCAGAAATAGGTCTAACAACACAGCAAAAAGGACCAACAAAATTATTTTCTTCACTCCACTGCCCCCTAATGGTGGTGGAGGTTGAGCACTTTCACTCATTTCCACCAATTTCTGCAGCAGTGTGGAAATGCAGTGCTGTGAAAGCCGTGTGAACATTGACAGCATTACATAAAGAGTATAACACACACTATAGTCAATATACAGGGTGTTTCACAGAACTTTGGCAAATTAAATATTGTGAAAATTGCACATCTCAGAAGAAAAAGAAAAAAGGTTGATGCATTTTTGGCCCCTGCACAAGTGCCTATTTAGGAAAATTAATATAGTTTGGAATAATTAAGTCATCTATAATTCTCGAGTAAATAACTTCTTTACTTTTTGGGTTTAAGGGTATGGTTTTAATTAGAAATTTGCTGGGCATCATTGCAAACTACTAAACCCACATTATACAATGATAAAAGGCACGCAGCGTTTTACTGTGTTCTGCAAAAATCCTTAATTTGGATGCGGTTCTAGGTTTCAGTTTCTTATCAGAGCGCATCTCTGCGGCAGCAATCAAGCTCCCCGCGGTCAAAACGTACAACATGCGTGCGCCGCCACGCACGGCACGTAGAAGAGGGTAGATAAGAAAGCCTCCGGACTGCCACATGAGGTTTGCCTTTCTGACATGGGTGCATGTGTGAAGGAATGCCTCTACGTACGATGCCCGACGGTGCATGCATGTTGCGCGTTTTAACAGGGGAGCGGGATTGCTGGCACGGAGATGGACTCCGATAAGAGGCCGAAAGTTGAAACAAGCTCAAATTAAGCATTTTTTCGAAACGTCATAAAATGCTGCGTGGGCCTTATATCATTGTAATATGGAGGGATTTAGTAGTTTTCGATGATGCCCAGCAAGTTTCCAATTGAAACCATACCTTTAAATTCAATAATTAAAACAGTTAATGATGCAAAAATAATGCATTACTTAATTATTCTAAACTATATTAATTTTCCTAAATAAGCTCCTAGGCAGGGACCAAAAAGACGTTAACTTTTTTTTCTTGTGCGATGTGGTTTTCACAAAATTGAATTTGCCAGAGTTTCGTGAAACACTCTGTATATTCAGTGCCATATGCAGTTCGGCTGAAGTATATAAAGAAGCTGGATCAGCATCTGGGTGCAGCTGAGCAGCAGGAGCGTGCAGGTTTGGTTTACAGCAAGCTTAACTACACAATCTACCATATAATTAAGAACTCAAATATAAAGTGACCACTCTCACTCTGTTGAAGGAAGACTTGAAGATGGTTTTTTCAAGCTGAAATGTTGTTTCAGCAGCTGTGAGGTTGACTAGGCTGTCATAGTTTGCAGGAATCAAATCATCCTGAAAATGGATAAATTTATTTGAGATTGAAGGGGAGAATATGGTTCATGGATGATGATGAAGTTGAAGCAGAACAGCTTACCTTGAAAGACTTCAGAACTCCATCAAGAGTGACAATGAATGTTTGCAAAAATGGCCGAATCCCGTCGTTGGCCTCATAAGATGTGAAATCATCCTACAATAAAACATGCAGGCATGATTCAGTGCTATTGTGCTCTCCAACTTCTTCCGGTAAGTGGGATGTTGGTTAACACAACTGGATATCGTAATTCAGGTATACAATGTGAAAACACAAGCCCTTGGAATTCGCCCAAGATTAGCCATATTTACAGGTTTTTAATATATTGTTTATTCCGAGTTTAATCCATAGATGCAAAAAAATGTAGGTAAAAAAATCAGGAAAGCTAGACATCTCACATATTCCCAACAGATACTGGTGGCAAATACAGTCTTAGCTAGTTATAACAGACCAGGGATGGGCAAAATACATGCAAATAGGTATTGAAATACAAATACAAAATACTTTGTCAAAAATGTATTTAATTACAAATCTAATTACATTTCCAAAAAAGCATTTAATTACAAGATACAAATACAACCAAATGTATTTGGTCTCCTCCAATTACTTTTCCAAATACATTCCTCAAAATCTGCGTCAGCGACTTCAGGGCACCTGCAACGGGTTTCTGGGTATCTCATTTTCATTTTGAATCGCACACTCGGGAGTTAGTGTGCGAGGCTCTAGTAACGTAATAGAAATATAATCACACAAAAAATGTAATCAGCTTGAACGGAATAGGTGGAAAAAGTACAGAGCTTCAAGCAGCTTTTCTTTGTCGATTACATTTTGGTATAGACCAACAAAGAACCGAGACGACCAAGACGCGCAGCACTAGCTAGAGAATTTTTTTATTGTTGCAACTCGCATCAGTTAAGAAACTCTGGACGACCCACGCATTTAGAATGTTCCAGGTAAAAATATGGATGGAAATCAGGTTGGAAAGCATCACAAGTTGTCACAGGCACTTATTTAGCAAGTCTGCCCGTGAACGTCGATTTCGTCATTATTATTGCCCTGGACTAGCACCGTAATCACAAAGTCATTAAACGCTTGTGCTTGATTGAGAGACACTGCATTCGGTGCAGAACATAGTTTTCTTCCTGCTCTGGACAGTGACAATAAATTTGAGGGATGTATTTTCGCCCACAAAATTGTATTTAATTACAATTGTATTTGAAATACCCACGTTTTAGTATTTAAATACACACGTCAAATACATTTCCTAATTTGTAATTAAATACAAATGCAAAATACACAAAGTATTTCAAATACGTATTTCAAATACTTGTATTTGAAATACTGCCCATCCCTGTAACAGACCTTGATTTTGATCAAGATTTCGGTCTGTTGTAGAAGGAGTATGTTGTATGCAGATATGAAGTTGAGTCAATGGTGCATAGAGGAAAAACAACTGAACCTCACAAATCGGTATGTTATATGCAAATGTCTGTTGTAACCAGGTCTGTTATAGTGAGCTTAGACTGTACCAGAAATACAGAAGCCAGAAAAGGTTTACCCTAAAATACTGCAGAAGCGCCCACTCCGTTCAAGCGCCCACTATTAATATTTCCCAAACTTGGAAATTGTGTGAATTATACTTTAAGCGCCCGATTTGATTGATTGATTTTGGGTTTTAATGGCGCAGCGGCTGCTAAGGCCATAGTGCGCCAGAACAATGGTAGAAGAAAAAACTGCGGTGCTATTTAGTTAAAGGTGAGGCATGATATGAGAGTTTAAAATCTTTCATGAAATGCAGACAATACAAAGAAAATTCACTCACTTAAATGTGCTGTAATAGGCCAATGCTGTTTAGGAAGTTAAAAACTTGGTTATGAGGAACAAGAGCGCCCGATTTGACAGGACAAGTGCCCATGTCTAGATTAACCCAGTTTTCAGTGAAAGTGGGGGGGGGAGGTGCTCCCTTGTTATTTTACGGTAAAGGCCCGTTCATACGCTTGCGACTTTTTAGAACCATGTGCCTTGAAACGTCTTAAAATCTCTAATGACAAGAAAACACACTGGCACCACCTATGGGGGAGCCATGTAACACTTGGCGGTCCCATATACAGGGTGTCACAAAAGAAAATTTACAGGGTTTTTTTTTTTACAGCAAAAATAAACTAGGCATCGCCGAACGCTCATTCTCTGCCCAAAGGTAGCGCTAAAGGTCACAACCAGATGCCACAGTTTCAGCTTGATCCAATACGTTATTCAAAAGTTATAAGTGATTTTCTGAAAATTTCAATGGGAAAATGGAGCCCAATTTTGCCCGTTTTCGGTTTCTGGTGCCCATAGAGCCCCATGTATTCAAAAACTCCGCCGGCCGCCATTTTCCCATTGAAATTTTCAGAAATTCACTTATAACTTTTGAATAAGGTATCGGATTGTGTTGAAACTTTGGCATCTGGTTGTGACCTCTAGCGCTACCTTTGGGCAGAGAATGAGCGTTCGGCGATGACTAGTTTATTTTTGCGGGAAAAAAAAACCCTGTAAATTTTCTTTTGTGACACCCTGTATTTTATATTTTTTTTCACGCATAATTTTTTTTCTTTCTTGGCTCGAAAAGCTTTTGTCCATGTTATCAACAACCATTTCTCATTAATAGTACAAACATTTGACCTCGCAAATACTGCAAAACATGCGCTCCAGTGAAATGCAGTTCAAGGGTCACCGCACAGATGGCGCCAGCGTGTTCTCTCGTCGTAGATTTGAAGAGGTTCTAAGGCATTCGGTTCAAAGTAGGGTGACCACCCGTCCCGCGACTCGCGGGACTGTCCCACATTGAGGGCTTGTGTCCCGCGTCCCGCGAGAAATTCCAAAATCATCAAAATGTCCCGCACTTCACACTGTCGTAAAATTCACTCCACAACTCATGGTGCTGCCAAACAACGGGGCACGGGAAAGCGCGGAGGTCGCATGGCAATCGTGTGAATCGCAATGATACGCCATTTTCTATCCAACCATTGCGGGAAGCGACCTTCGTTCTTGCAGGAGATTCGACGCGCATGCGCCGTTGAGCCTCTCCCTTTTGTAGCAAAATATCGTAAGAAAAATTGCTCGCCAAAAGTTTAAATATAAAATAATGTAATAATTTTCAAATTGATGTGTCAATGCAAAAGGGTTGCTGTGATTTTTTTTTTAGCGAAGGCAGCCACATTTGCAACGGTCGGAAAAGAGCATAATGTTAAAACATTGTGTATGACCATGTTGATAAAAGTAAGCGTTGGCAGGGAACAATAACCCGAAAAAGATTTCCTGTTTCTTATTTCCATTTCATGCATTGAGTTCATATATCGTCCATTTTTATGTTTTCAACTTCCACACATTTAATAACATGTTTGGCATTAAAACAAATATATCACTGGGAGTGGAAATTATTTGAGCTTAACTGCTGCAATGGAATTAGAAGGTGTAGAAAAAGTGCAGGATAATAAATGTGTTAACAGAGCCTAGGTTCGTTGTGTGCGTGTTAATATTTCCTCTAACCTCCCCCCCTCCCCCCTTGCCCCGCGTGTCCCGCATTTCGCTAGGAGGAAGGTGGTCACCCTAGTTCAAAGAAGTCGCAAGTGTGTGAACAGGCCTTAAAGGGGCCCTCTGGAGCGTTCTGCGATGGTCTATTCATGGCGGTAACTCAATCTACAGGCCCTAAGGATCCTAAAAATCATAAAATTACAGTCATGCGCGGCGGATTTCCCTATTCAAATTGCTATCAAAGCCCCCGGCACGCCCCCCTTTCTAAGATGAACCCGGAAAATGGGAGGGGCATCTCTTTACGCGTCAGTCAATAGCAAGCGAAGGATTCCTGCGTCACTCTGCATCACCAACGCGGCCGACCGCCGACTTGCGGAGGAATCTCTCCGGACTTTGTGCTCGGCAGTCGTCGTTCGTCGCACCGCACCGTCGTACTGCTACTGCAATACGCAGTAGCATTCCACAGTTGACAAGGAAAAGTTTGACTCGTTGACGTGGAAGGATCGCTAAGCTGGCTTCGGAGTCGAGATCCACGGGAAGAAGGAACACGTGTCCCGCAAACGCATGTCTGCAGACGCCCCGGGAGGCAGACGAGCCGATGCGCCGACGAATCACCCCCTAGCAACAAGCTTGCGGGGAGAAAACATAGTTCGCTGGTTTTGGAGCGATAATTGCGAACTATGTTTCCCGCACCACAATCAGTTTACGTTTTTCTCAAACTCCAATTTACAACGAGCTTAAAAAGTGTTGCAATAATAACGTTCGCATTCACCGCGAGATGCAGCATCCATTGGTCAAGTTTTAGCGATGGGCAGGGAATGCGGGATTGTCTTCCAAGAGAAAATAGTCCCGATATATTTCTTCTGCCATCTGCTTAATAAACGGTTATGTAATCTAAAACTTTGTATACCTATTAACTTGCACCTACTATGCAATATAACAACATAAACAGACGATCGCAGAAAGCTCCGGAGGGCCCCTTTAATTGTAGGAAAATGTTTACTTGCTAACTTAGAAGATGAGTGAATAAATAAAGTTATCTTTTTGTCTTCAGTAGTATGCTCTATGGCAGTTCACACCTGCCTGAGTAGTAGGCGAGGATCCAAGTCAATCAATTATTTTAAGCTTTCTGGGTCTTACACAGAAAGTTTGCCTACCCCGTTTTCTACCTGGACTGCCCTCTATGAAAGGTGGGTTAGCTTTCAGTTGCCTAAGCCTAAAATATACCAATTTGAATACTAGCCTTATTCTAAAGCAATAAAATGGAATCCACTTAGTATAACGATAAGGAAAAAACCCGAAAATTCAATCGTAATAACTGATTATCGTTGAATCTGGACTAGACTGACCGTTTCTAGTCTACAAACTCTAGAAACTGATCGTTATAAGCAGTACATCGTTATATGTGGTATTGTTATAAGTGGATTGTACTGTATTTGTTTTGCAATCTAATATGGTTCCACCAAGCTCAAGTCAGTCATTTCCTTTGTGCATACATCTCAGTGGAGTTGCTCTTGAAACATAACTTCAAATTTCAATGCCTTACCTCCGTCAAAGAATGATCAGTAGCTTGAAATGTATCAGCCCATGACTTTATGTGTGGTTTTACAGCAGTGTTGCAGAGTTCGGACACTCCAGAACTTAGCAATGACTGAAACTTTAGGGCAGAGTTGCTGAGGTCGGCGAGACAGCTCTAGGAACAAAGTACAAAACAGGGGGCATTGAATACAGAAATATTAAAGGAAATGCACCCTATCTAACGGTGGCAGAAAACTGCTGAACGTGCAATTGAACTATAAATCAGCAATAAAAATTAATATAGTACATATAATGAGACACAAACCTCTAATTTTGCAGTCTCTTGCTCAGTAGCTGAGGAAAAGCTCTTCTGCAAGTCCTCCTGTAAAAGCAGATCAGTGAGTTCAAAAAGTTGTGAATCATCTGGAAAATAATCACAACTATGTTTTACTCACCTGAAGAGAACTAGCAAGCGTCTTTATATATTCATGTGCCATCTCCACATTGTTCAATGTCGTCTAAAAAGTCAAAGACAAGCATTCTTTAAGCAGATCTTTAAATCAAGCCCACAATAAGTGTATTGGGGGGGGGGGGAGGGGGGGGGTGTATGTTCACAATGCAATAATGAAATTATTGTGACTGCTCTAATGACTGCCTAATTGGCACATGGCTCTTAGTAGAAAGTGTTGGGCACACAAGCATGCTACATGCACATGTGAATTCATGCAACATTTGCAAGAGTTCAAGTTTTTTTGGATTCCAAATTAGCTAATCTTTGATAAGATTGGTTTGACTTCTAGTTATTCCACCAGGCATTGGATGCCAAAATTTCCAAAAACACACACACAAAAAAAACACGCAGTACAGCAATCAATCTGACTTTTTACCCTATTTGGAAAAAATGCAAACTGTCTGCACAAATTGAAAAATGCAAACAACTACCCAAACATGTGCTTGTCTGTGGTGAGTGTTTATTTAAAGTCCTCATATTTTTGCACACTTCTTTTAAGATTATGATTCAGTAGCAACCAGTCCAGCTTTCACGCCCTTTGTAATTATTCCAAACTCATATCCAATGTTAGGTACTAACATATGATTCGGTAATTTGCGAAGCTACTGCCGTTAGGGACAGAGAGCAGAGTTCAAGGGGTTCTCTCCTCAGACCAACTAACTCACCAAAAACACAGCTCTGGCTTTTTCCACTGTCTCTGCCGGTTGAATCCTGCCCTGTTGAAAGCTGCTTTGGATCATGGAGTAAGCCTGACTAAGGTCAAGGATGCCTGAAGGTGGAAAGCCAAGCTTGAGTCGCTCCGACAACTCCCCAGCAAAGTCTGTCTCGAGGAGTGAACAGCTGTGGTTTAGCATTGCACATGCCCCGTCCACACTGGCGCTCGAAAAAGCCCGTCTGCCAAAAGACCACACAAATCAAATTTAGCACCAGACAAGGGTTATATTGCTGCAGTTAACTCCAGTTCAATCAATCAAGCTGTCTCCAATTTCTAAACGTAAGACTATGCACCCTGATAACCACTTTTAGATACAACCCAAGAAACATGCAAACCTTAGGGAACACACCAAGTAAAGCAATAAACTAGATGCCGACACTGCAAAGAGGTCATTCTTCCATTAATATATTACCATACTTTAAAGAACTTAATTTTCGCAAAGACATAATTTTTGTGAATTTCACGAAATTGAAAATATTGCAAAAAAAATTGATCACATGAATATATCAGTATATGGTAAAGAACACACAGCTAATCACTCTAAATTTCGAAATTATGACCCCACGAAAAGGAAGTTGTTTACAGTAACTGTTATATGAAAGTTCTAGCAGCTTATGTTAGGTATGGTTCTACATTTATGGATGAAAAGAGAAAACACCACAGTCTGCAAGGCTCTTCTATAGAATGAAAATGACTAATTAATTATTCCTTACAACAAAAGGGGATTATAAGGATTCCAAAAATGTTTTGGCCATGACATTAGTCAACACTTGACTTCAGGTGTTGAGCCCCAATTAAAATTCTTGTGGTAAAAACTTTGTGAGTCAATGAATTCTACAATTCAGAGCATACCAAACCAACATCTAGCTGTCTTCATGCTTTAGATCCTCTACAGTTCAAGAAAGCACCAAGGTGATACTTTTTTCATCTTTTTTCACTTGCATAATAGTGTAATAAAGATTTAACTAAGCCAGAAACTTTAGCAAAGGTTGTTCAGTTTCTGTTCCCAACACCAACATGACTGTTTTGTATCATGCACCTACCCCACAAAGTAATGGACCACTACCACAGGTACATTCAGACTTAAAGGGCAACTCCGCTTCACTTTTGATATTGAGGAAACTATGCAGCCTTCTTCAGCATCATCAAGGAAGACCACATGTCAAATATTACAATCTAATTCTGTTTATATATTTAATAAACTGGCCAGCAAACTTTCAAATGAGCCAAGTCGCCAAAATCAGCTCACTTTAGCAAGCGACGTGAGGCGCAATCAACAGCGCAGTCAATACCATGGAGTTGGAGCAGCCAACATTGAGCCACTATGTCAGAGTCATGTTTACGTCATTCTCACGTTTTGTTTGTTTTTACTTCTCAGAGCAAAACTGAACAATAACGTCATGAGTTTCTCCTCCTGGTGTTGGCTCAACGGTGTCCACATGATCACCGTAACACATATGCGCTAGTTTGTGTTGCCCTGCGCGCCTCTCGGAGCCAAGAATTGGGAGCAGTCTGTTTCGTCTCGCCGCTGTTGTAGTTTGAGAATGATGTTTTGTCTACGATACAGGCGCAGGCCACATCTATGTTGCCTAGCTTTGATGCCTGGCGAAAGATCCATAGGCTCACAATGTTGTGTAGCTGCTTGCTCGAACTACCAGTCGGCGAGCCCGGGAGTTGCCTTTCACAAGTTTCCACACGACAGTGCGCCTCTGAATGTATGGACGGACATCCTGTGCTGGTGCAACTTCGGGAAGCCGTTGTTGCCAAATCGCAGAACAATGATCTGTTCCGACTGCTTCTGCTCATGACACTAACTAATTTACTGTTAGCAGCTAAATAGAGAAACGTCCGTGAAAAGATCAGTTCCACTGTAAAACCAAATGAATGTGCACTGGAGCATACTTATTACGGCATTCATAATTTTTGCTGACTATTCTGCTAGCGACAATAAATGGGTAGTCTGCCATACAGCTCCATAAAGGTACCCAATTCAGGCTACTAAACCAGGAGACACATGCAAGGTCAAACGACCACCACGTCGGTCACATTACGCGCCGGGTGTTTCCCAGTGTACAAGCATATATGTCTCGCGTTGTAGAAAGCAGGCGCGAAGTCTCAACCATTTTCGGTAAAATTAATGATAAGTTGGAGTGTTATGTGCCAGACCTACGAAGGGTATCGGGCACGCCCAAGCGGAGGCCTGATGATTAATTTGGGCCACCTGGGGATCTTGTGACGTGCAACCGACCGAAATCTCGATTACACGGCGCCTTTGCGGCAATAAGTCCGCGCCAAAGAGCGGGCACCTCCGTCGAGGTTCCAACCAAAAGTGCAAGCTGTCCCAGCTTGCGTAGGGGTGCAGACGTCGTTGGATGTTGTAGCAAACTACATTGGAAGTGATTTGATTGGCCTAAGCGATTTTTGGAACACCATTCAGAGCAGCCAAAATAGTGTTCTGGAGCAGCAAATGTGACCTTTGGAGCAACCAAAACAGTGTTTTGGAGCAGCAAAAGTGGCTTTTGGAGCAGATATTCTTAAAAAAATAAAAATATTAGTTCTAAGTGCTGTACAAACGAGGGCACTTTGTCTTGTGTTGCATTCTGATGCGACATGTTGTGACGAAACTTGCTGCTTGTGTATTTACGGCTGAGACATCCCACAAATGTACAGTGCTGTAGGCAGTGCTGAGCTATTCCGAAAAACCGCTTGCCACCGTTTTACTGGTTCTTGATGTGCCAGATTTTCGTCAAAAGTAAGCAAATGTAAAACAATGGATTGCCAGCGTCCTGGCTGGTGCCTCTGTCGTGCAATTACGTTCGGATGTACGTGAGGGAAACTTCGGCAGGCTTGCAGTTGCGCGTGCTTCGTCGCCTGAGTGGAGACAACGGCTGTTTGATTGAAACCAAAACCATGGCACTACGCTCCGTCGCCAACTTATTTCCAACATTGTATGCAAAATGTAACTGTCCAGCATACGACAAACAAAAAAAACAGTTCAGCGGCGCGTGCTTGCCAGGACGCAAAAAAGGTAAAAGCTAAACACACAAAAGAAAAAAGAAACCTGAGTGCATTGATGCAAGACATTGCGAGTCAGGGTCAAAAAGTTACTCGAGAAAAACAAGCGTGCTGTGCGGGTTCAGCATGCAGACATTGCCTTCTTTGCTTTAGCTCACTTCTCTTCACCAACTTTCTCTCGCGGCAGCTTTTTCACGTACCGGGGCTTCTCTCGAAAGAAAGCCCACCGAGAGAAACCTAGGTAACCAATACTTCAACACAGCAGTCTGAGTTAAAAATGGATTTTTGTAGTAACGTATGATTTAAGAAGAACAGGAATGTTGATGAACATGCGGCGGTACCTAGTTTCATTTTAGAAAGCGCCATATCTGCAGCGACGTGGGGAAGGCAACACCCGACGTCGTGCGACCACAGTGACTGGAAGGCAGGGACCGAATATAGTTTTCCCATGGCCGTTGCTTTCAGGAGAGAGTGTTTCAGCTCACAAAGTAACTCCTGCCGCACAAAAACATGGTTTCATCTCACAGCATGACGGCATAGCTGGTACCCGGCACGCTAGTGTCGAAGTGTCCACACACAGCCACGTCTATCGTTGAAGATATTAAAAAAAGATACGCAAGACGAGACCCACGAGACAACGAGAGCGCAAAACGCGAGACGGCGGGAAAACCATGCAAAACCTGATGGACAATTGACGCAGGATACTTTGCCTCGGGCGGCCGCTTGCACCACATAACACACGCATGCTCAATTACAATACTCAGTTTAGTTTCAGTTTTGAAAGGCGACAGAAATTGGTTTTTTGGAGCAGGCTTGGCGCAGATTACCCATATATTGGCAAAATGTAGCAAGATGTAGCAGGGTTAGCCGTTCGGCGCAGTTTGGCGCAACAATCACATCACTGCATTGGTGAAAATTGCGGAGCAGACGACACTTCCGCTTTGCTCTACGTTCGCCCACCATTGCATAGAGGATCACGTGACCATCTAGACCACGTGGTTCGACGTGACGTGGACATGACTCTGACGACACGAGATCAATGCTGCCTGTCACAACCGAAGTTTTGGTATCTGCTGATGTTTAAACTAAGATTATAGAAATAATATTCCACATTTCGCAAATTTGAAGACGTAGGGCTATTTAGTAGTGCTTTGGGAAATAGAATCACATGTAAGCCTAAATCTTTTTGGATTGAGCGGAGTTGCCCTTTAAGTAACACATCATATGGCAGACAAGTATACTAGTTTGTTTGGATTTCGGCTTCAGAATTGTTTTAGTGAACAAGGAATTGTGTACTCAAAACAGAGTAAAAAGCATGTTAATAAATTTCAATAATAAAATGAGACAAAAGTTTTGAAAAATCGTTTTATGAGTTGACTTGCTAGAAAATATTGGCATAAAGATTCTAGATTGTAGAGAACATGCCATGATGGAGTAATATTCGTTACATGGTATATCTATTAGTGTTGTACGAATATTCAAACAGTGGTTCCGAATAATACGCTGTTCGATATTCGCTTCGAGATGAACTGCGATATTCATAATTTTCTGAATGTTGATTGCGGCGAGTTAGCCCCGTTGAGTGCACTCCTCACCGGGCACATGTGCTCGGTGAGAAGCATACTCTACGGGGCTAACCCGCCGCGATTATGGTCGACAGAGATGTCTTGACAGCCCGCGCTCATCACTCGTACTTGGTTTGTTGTCGAGTTTTTGTCAAATTCCAAATTGAAGAAAGAATATTTGCATATAGCAAGCAGATTTATAAATCTCCACCATTAGCATGGCTGCGAGTATTTTGCCGTTTATAGATACTATACTACAGCTATATCAAAATTAACTGAGCTTAGAAGTGGAAGACTGGGAATAACTTTCCCGAAATAAGCTGAAGTTTTGTTTAAGCATGGTGCACGGTAGTGAAAGGCTTGGAGAAACTATTCAATTAGAAAATATTCAGCAAAACCACTATTTGCTTCAAATTCGCTTTGAACTCGAATTCCACTATTTGCCCATGACGAATATTTACACAATTCTGAGCACCCCCTGCTCTAACAAGAAATATTTAAAAAATTAAAGTTCGAAGGTGGAAAGAAAATTAAAGTTCAATGGTTCTAAAAGGAGCTCTGCCATCATATTTAAGTGTCTAACTTTTTTGCGGTTTCCA